TGACACTGAAAAAAAAAAAAAAATATATATATATATATATATATATATAAAATAATCAGCATGCAAGTTGTAAACTGACTGTTCTATGTAATGGATTGGCGAGTCGAACGGTTGGTCTGATGGAAATGTAAATCAAATTAACTTTAATCTCATCATGAATGTTGTAATAATAAAAAGCACCTTCTATATGCGAACTTCATCACGCAATCAAATGCATAGGCTTGAAGCCTAGCGTGTTCAGGGGTGGCTCCAGCGAGGGTCGATGGGTCAAGACCCCCTTGGGGGAGCTTCTGCCCCCCCCCCACACCGTCGGGGAGAAAATCCACATCGAGGAGAAAATTAGGCCTATGTATTTTCTACATATAACTCTAAAATTGATTAAAAAAGCCTTTCAGATCCTAAATTGTAAAAATGTTTGGTGGATTCGCTCCCTGGGACCACTTTCGGAATATTTTAAGAGGTGCCAGGCCAAGCCCACTTTTCTCCCGTCGGGGATGTCCCCCCCCCCCGTCGTGGACCTTAGACCCCCTGGTGGCCACCCCAGCGAATGTTAATGTTTTCATACCCATACGAATCTTGATGTCGCCATCTTTGGTGAGTCATTCGGTCTGTACAGAATATTGTTGCAAAGAATTTTGGTGGAATGAGGTACAAATGAGATTAGTATGGCAAAATAGACTAATAATTGACGGTTTGTACTCGCAACTAGTATCGGATTGTCGATGCCAGAACTGCAGAGAGATACGCCAGTCGTATCTAACGCTAATCCGTGGCGTAACTAGCGAGATGTCCAGACTAGGCGATTGACGAACGCTAGTATTCGTGAGAAGTATGGTATTCGTATTCATAACCGCACGTTTTGTTTTCTGTTTACATCTATAGGCTTATTGTAAGTGGTCAAATCTTGGTCGAGTTCAAAATCATGGTGCATGACTGTCGTAACTCATGGCGGCGTACGCTAATCTGGAGTATGTTGCCGGATTATACCGTACGCCAGTGATACGCGCTAATGCTGGCGTTTACGCCCCTCACAAGTTCACACTACTCGATGAACTTGCGTAATTCGTTGTGTCTCTTCTTCTTCTTCTTCTTCTTCTTCTTTTTCATCTTCCAGATTAGTGCAAACTTCAATTTTGAAGGCTATATGTCTGAGCATAGGTAAAGTAAAGGATCAAAGGACTGTACGCACGCACTATGTTCGAGAGCCGGAGATGTTCGTCCTTTTTTGTTGAATTGCCTCCCATGGTGTAATCACCCTATTTGCACGGCATTTTCCCCCAGTTTTTAATTATTCAAAAATTAGTATCTCATTAACCGTTCTAAAGTTTTTTTGTCAAATATGCTTTTTTGTCTTAGAAAAATCAGTTGTACAAAATATCAATAAATTTATTTTCCTCCTCTGATCCGCCGGAGTCTGTGACTTTAATTGACAGTATATTATTCTGCTATTATACGTTATGCGAAACTCCTTTGGCGCTCCATACTATCATTGAGAATTAGAGAATTCCCCAGTCGCCCAAAAACGGCTAGGATATTTGCTAGTTTACAGTGCTGGTGTGCGTTCGTACTCCAGAGTAAATACCAATAATTGCAGTTATAATACTGAATTATGGCGCATAAAATGAAGTTAAGAATTGCCGTGGTATGTTCGAGTAATCAAAATAGAAGTATGGAAGCACATGGATTGTTGAGGTTAGTATAAATGATACATTTCAAAACATTGATTCTTCGGTGTGTAATCGACTACAGAGTCAAGTTAGAGAGATAGGGCCAAACTAGCCTAGCTAGGCTAGCCTACCTGGGCTAGGCCTAGCCTTCCCTACTATTTAACCTACTATTTATAGGCGGCGCCTACCGCCGCCACCGGATTTAGCCTAGCCGGGATAGCCTCATTTTAAGATCATTCTTCATAACACAATTTTTCGTGATTCATTCTTTGACACTAGAGTAATACTAATAGATAACCTAAAACTGGTGGAAAAAAGGTTGGTTAAAACTTAATATGCCCCTTTTCCATCCTATTTTTAAATATTCAAAAATCTCATTAAAAATTTAAATAACCGTTCCCAAGTTTTCCGTCAAATACCCTTGCTTGTGTCAGTTGTAGGCCTATGGCGATGCCTATTAAGAAAGTGTTTTTCCTCTGGAACCTGGCTTTAAAAAAAAAGATTCAATAAAGCATGAATATATTCCATTTAGACAGTTTTTAGCTCTAATCTCAAATTATTTGATATGACTAGGCTAGATTATAGATATGAAAAATACTGCACACTATCCCAGCAGTAATGATAAACAAAAAAAAAGTTATGGTTGGCAACTGACTGCAGTAGTGACACTGACCAATACCGAGATAGCGTGCGGTACCGTATTCCACTACCTAAAATATTTTTAATATCAAATATATATAATATATATATTATATATATCCATATATATATATATATACATATATATATCTATATGTATATATATATATAATTTTTTTTTTTCGTTTTCATTTTTATATTCATATAGGCCTACATATTATTTCTTCTTATATATAGTTTATATATATGTATATGATTTTTACCATAGTATATTTTTCCCGCGTTTTTATCTTGACTGCTGTCAAGCTTGTAGCTTGGCATACGCCCTTAAGGCTATTGTTCTTTTTTCTGTTATAGCGTTGCTTCACGTCTTATGTTGCTTTGTAGGACTCAGCCTTGAAATAAAAATAACCAACCATGCAAAAATATGAGAACAAAATATGCACATGATATAAATATTAACACATTTCATGCAGGTTATTTCAATGATTAATAATAACTCCTGTCTCTTATACACATCTAGATGTGTATAAGAGACAGTTATATACCTTTACCATACTGTCACCTCAAAAATGTATGTCACATGTCTAGATCGCCCACAAATATCACACCAAGACGTTACAGAACACAAACACCGTTTTAATTGATATATGTTTCATCAAAACAAACTTTTATTCATTCACCAAATATCGGATCAAACTATGCAAATTCAATATATAATGCATATAATAATATTAGACATACTTGTAAGTATGAACTAGTTTTGTCTATTTAACCAATTATCATGCATATTCAACCAATTATATCGATCAATAAAAATTGAACATGATTAAAGACATAAGTATTAGTGAATGTGTATAGGGAACATGATAAAATGGACATAAACAAAATAAAACTAGATTTGAACTTGTCACTGAGGACGAGTTTGGTGATCCGCCGTACGTTGACCCTCAGGAAGCGCGCACGGTGCTGATTTAAAAGTTTTATATGTTAAAATATGCTCTAATTAGTTTTTTTTTTAAAAAGAGTAATTTTGAGCATTTTAAAAGATTTACACATGCGTATGCACACGTCTCGATGCCCATGAGCACAGTATTGGCACAAAGAGTTGACTCCTGATATGAATACAATGTCAGGAACCCAAAATATGTAACATAACGTAATTTCCAGCTTCATTACTTGCTTTGCGTGGAAATGAACGTAAGGCGCGTAAATTATGTAAAGTTTTGGAATGCTGAAAATCACCTGAAACGTTGTTTAAATTTTCTGAAACCTTCATGTAACCTACATATCAGTCTGACAGCATCAAAATACAGTCTGCCGCCCTCTCTGTTCTATGTTTTCTACATCTTTCAAGAAAGAGAGATAAAGGGGCTCCAAAAATTCATTTTTTTTACCATGATCACGTTATCAAAATGAAAAATAAAAGGACACTTCCGAAAGAGAATTGTCTCAGCTATAACATACTCACAGGTGGGAACGATTGAACAAAAAATAACCGAGAAATGTTCAAATAAATTTAAAAATTAAGACGTTATAAATAAATATTTAGGGGTCACCTTTCATCCTAAGGAGCTATAACCGATTAAAAATAGACCTGATTTCAGCATATTTTTCACTGCACAAATCCGTGCAAAGATCCCTATGTTTGATGCGCACGTACGAAATTGCTATTGGCCATAAGATGACCGAAAAGAATGGAAATTTGTGAAAACAATTTCAGGAACCCAAAGTATGTAAAAAACGTAATTTCTTGCTTCCGTACCAGCTGAGCTTGTAAAAATGCACACGCGTAGTGGAACATTTCAAAAAAATTTGAAATGCTTAAAATGACCTGAAACATGCTCTAATTTAGTCTAATAACGATTTTGAGCATTTTGAAATTTTGACGCACGCGTACGTGCACGTTATGAAGTGCACGCGTACAATTAGGGTACATTACATTCAACATTAACCCGAAGTTAATGCTCACTTAATACGATTTCGAAATGGCAATTGGTTAGGCTGATATGATCGATAATGTAAAAATACAAAATTGCGCATAGACGCCATCACGCGTAACTGCGCACTTTGAAAACCTTATTGTGACTATTCCAGGCCAAGCTAAATGTTTGTTAAAGCGTGCATTTATGAATCTTGTGCCAATTTTGAGATATCGTGCTAACAAGATATGGGGAGAGACGTAGAATAAAAAAAAAAAAGATGATCTCTGACAATAACAAGAGGTGATCCGCTCGTGAAGCGGATCACCAATAATCAAAACTTCCCTCCACACTGGACCCCATACAGTACTCTGTGTGCCTCTTCCACTACAATTATGACCCCCGACTCTGTGCGCCTCTTCTACTAGCCTTCGATATTAACTCTTATCTTATCGCTTTCTGCCTAGCCTATGGTTCACGAACACCATGTATTGACCAAGATCAAACTGTATGCTGTAGAACTCCAAGACAGTGTCAAGGACACCTCCCACACGGCAATCCGTACCAAGGACTCAGCCTTGAAATAAAAATAACCAACCATGCAAAAATATGAGAACAAAATATGCACATGATATAAATATTAACACATTTCATGCAGGTTATTTCAATGATTAATAATAACTCTGCGGAAATCGACCCGTAATTTCCAAAATGCGCAGACAGATTTCTAGGCCTAATTTTTGCGTGGAGGGTATATCTCCGTGCAGGCCTTATTTTACAGTCTGGCATCTTTATTGACAAACATAATTTATTGAAAAACATATATGGTACAGTATGTACAGTACTTGCCATAGTCAAATCCAAAATGGCATTGAAAAATGGTTCGACTTAGATATAATTTGACTTACAGTTCATGGTTAATTAATTACCTTGAATTACCTTGAACCTTAGGACTAGAAAACACAACAATTTGGCATGTAAAATAAGATCGACTTAGAAATTATTTGAATTAGGAAAAGACGACTTAGGCAAGTTTAGCTGTATATCATAGAGTACTACAGTGTTACGTCACGATACCATGTGATACTACTCCGTTGCTATCGATGCAAAATGACAAACCATTGATCCCAATTCCTAACATAATTATTAAGATGTTGTATCTTACTTTTTCTTTGTAAATTTTAATTGATGATTAAATGTGTGTTTGATAACTAATATAATGTGAGCTTTTGTATTTTTAGTACATTTTGATGGTAAAATATTAGATTTTAAAATGCCTATTCCACAAAGCTTATGCAGTCATTCAGGCGTAATGAACGGTAACCTACGTCTGTTGACAAGAGAGAGTGGTACTCTATATTTATATATTTGTGAAATATATTAAATATTTAATGAATTAAATAATGCCTAATTTTAGCAATTTCTCTCTCTCTCTCTTTCAGTAAAAAGGGATTTATTGTAAAATCATTTGGAACCGGTGTGAATGTTAAACTGCCAGGATCTGCTCCAGATAAACCAAACATTTATGAATTTGATGGAACAACATATGAGCAGATGTACCAGGATCTTACCAAAAAAGACCGAAGCTTGTATCCCAAGTCTTTAATTTTTATTTACTTATATATATTTTGTTCTATTATAAATTCTTGAACAGTATTTCAAGAAGTATTTTTCTTTTTTGCTCTTGACTGTAAAGGCAAATGGTAAGACTTTACAGAATGTACCAGGTTGAATGATCACTCTAAATTTTCAAATTCACTCCTGTTGAAAAGTTAGCTTAAGACAAGCAAGCCTTTCAAAAATCTGTTGAATGTCCATATATAGTCATGATGTGCCTATATATGTTCATGATGTGATGTCATCATGACCATATTTAGGCATGTGACATGTCAAATATAATTTTATAGTCTGCACAGGGTTTATTTTATTCATTAAAAGAACTAATAAATAGTACATATATCATATATAATATTACATTATCCAATTAGACCAGCTTATTTTAATATCCAAATTGACAATTCTCCAATTGGATCAGCTTATTCTTGGGCCGTTGTGAAGCATGAATGCTTATAATTATATGGCCCACTCTTCCTCAAGTCACAATAGTATATTGTTCTGGCATAAAAATTTTGATGGGTGCCGATCCAGTCCATGCGCTAGGTCAAAATATGATGGATTTCTAATTTTTTCTATTACACTTTAGTCACTGATTTAGGATGCATGCATTCCTAGTTAACACTGGTCAAATTGGCATTCTCCAATTGGATCATCCTTTTTTGAAATCCAAATTGGCCTTCTCCAATTGGATCAGCTTATTTGAAATCCAAATTGACATTCTCCAATTGGATCAGCTTATTTGAAACCCAAATTGACATTCACCAATTGGATCAGCTTATTTGAAATCCAAATTGGCATTCTCCAATTGGATCAGCTTATTTGAAATCCAAATAGGCATTCTCCAATTGGATCAGCTTATTTGAAATCCAAATTGGCATTCTCCAATTGGATCAGCTTATTTGAATCAAAATTGGCATTCTCCAATTGGATCAGCTTATTTGAAATCCAAATTGGCATTCTCCGATTGGATCAGCTTATTTGAAATCCAAATTGGCATTCTCCAATTGGATCAGCTTATTTGAAATCCAAATTGGAATTCTCCAATTGGATCAGCTTATTTGAAATCCAAATTGGTATTCTCCAATTGGATCAGCTTATTTGAATCCAAATTGGCATTCTCCAATTGGATCAGCTTATTTGAATCTAAATTGGCATTCTCCAATTGGATCAGCTTATTTGAAATCCAAATTGGCATTCTCCAATTGTATCAGCTTATTTAAGATTCAGATTTATTAATTGATTAGGATTTCATTGGACCCATCAACAACATTTTCACGTCATACAAATGCTTTGTTTCATTTCTGCTTATATTTTAATCAATGCACTGTACATTTTCACAGGTGATGTCAATCTGCGAGAATTATTTCATATTGAGATATAAATTTTTAAAAACACCTAGAACTAGCAGTTACCAATTCCTCATGCTTTTAAAACCAAAGTGCTTTTCCATTTGATCCCAGAATGGATAGAAAAGGATGTTTAAATTTTAACAGCATGAACTTTGTGCAATTAGCTGTTCATGCTACTCTTACTATCAGTTGACATAGTGATTCTTTCAAGCTCAATCTAGAAGCCATTAGCAGGTACAACAAATAAAATATCCAATTATTGTACAACACAGAAAAAATATGCACACTATTAATGGTGCATTTTAACATCACCAATATTTTATTCTGGATTGTTTAGGAACCAGGTGAGGGAGAAAATTTTTGTAACAATATTTGTGTAAATGGCTTCTAAATTGCTCTTAGCAATCTTATGCTCACTCAGTACAGGGTAGCCTTTTGTTTATTCCATAATGGTGTCTACTTTGTCAATTAAAAAAAAAAAAAACAATGAATAAAGGTCTTCTACTGTACGCTATAACAGTTGTGCTTGATTATGCTTTTGGATGATTCCCATTGTCTTTAGTTACCTTCAGTTTCCCCTCTCAGGCTTGCAGGTTTAGTTGTTTAGAGGTCAAATCAATTATAATATACAATCAATATTTAATATAATTTCCAAACAACATTAAAAAAATAATGATAACAGTGTATCTTATTTTACAATTGTGAATTTATAAACTACTATGATAGTAAAATAATAATAGTACACTAAAGTAATAGTAATACTTTAATAATTTTAAAGTCTTTTTGTTTTTATTTATGGCCTTATGAGGAAAATGCGAATTCAAAACACAGCTAAGTGCAGTATTCCAGAGTGGGTTTTCATCATACTCATCGTTATTCAAACGTTTGCACACGGTCTATAAATGTAATGGAATATAATGATTGTCCCACAGGAAATTAATTTCAACAGGTGTCAATTGATAATGTACGACTCTTGTAATGTTATCAATAACCGCTTGCTACTGTAAGATCTACTATGAGGTTGTGTCCCTGTGACTGAGCCTATTTAAATTATTATAATTCCAATCCATACAAATTGATGAATAATAAGTAATGGTGTTAATAATAGCAATATCAATAATGATAATATAATTATTCAAGAAATTAACATCAGCTTCAGCTTTTCTGCATTTTTTAATATAATTCCATGGCAGAGATGAACATTCCCAGTTGTGTAACCAATAACTACAAAGTACGAAACTACACTACTGTAGCTCTCCATGTTTTTCTTTCCCAAGAACTCGCGTCTCCTTTGTCCCGTTACATTCATCGTAGATTCGCGTGTACTGTGATATTAGGAGGCGAGGACAACCACTGCCGTTTTCATTATGCCTGTACTCAGTTTGTCTGATTTAAGCAGTTTCAAGATGCGTAATTTTATCTTTGTGCAGAGTCAAAACTGCGCAGTTTCCGCAAGAGATTTAACATATCATTTACCATTGCGAATTTTGCAGTTATTTATTTTTTATTTCGAAAAAACTGAAATAAATGCAGTCTGTTCCACTAATTATGTACTTTTAATAATCATTAATACTTCAAAGACGCATTTTATGACCAATGTCGGAAATTCTCATAGTTGTGCTAATTTCCGAAAATCTGACAAACTGTGCAAAACAGAGACGCCAATTGTTGTTTTTAAGGAGTTATTCTGTACCGAGGATTTATTATAAAGTGTACAGTAACTGTAAAATGTACAGAATCTAGTGTACAGCAGTTAAAATTGCTCCTTGAAAATGACAGTGCATTTCTGTAAATATATGATACCGGACCGCTATCTACAAGAAGTCTTGTCTCGCGGCTGTATTTTCCAAAGTATCCAATGCATTATAGAACATTTGCATCCTGCTATGGAACCGACTGTAGGGCCTTTGATACATTTCTGGATCATCTGAATAATACAGTACCTTAAACGAGGAAGAAACCAATCCAACATACCTTGCACAAGAACGCAAGCCGTCTGGTGTAGCCTCACACTTACTACTCATTTCGATGTTTTTTATGTTCAGGATCCAACGTAAGTCAATATCAGTGAATTCTATATACAGGTACATAGAATAACTATTTCAAAATAGGTCGTTCACTTGACTCTGGATGTCGTAATTAATCCCAGTGCTCATTAGGTCTTGAGGGAAGAAGTTTATTCTGCCTTGAATGTTGTTGAAGTGCGTAGATTCTTTATAACTGTTCTTATTATCCAACATTTGTGTTTTGGATAATCAAGAATATCAGTTTCAAAATTGCTGAACTGCGAAGATTTTTGACACGTTTTGGTACTTTATTCAGAATTGTTAAGGATGTTGAAGTGCAGAAGTGATATAAATGCAATATAGAGCGATCAAAAGTACTGCACAGTATCAAACAGTATTTTAAAAATGCGGTAGCAAAATCAATACATGTACGTTGAATAAAGGACCCTTTGACAGTTTCAGGATGCCAAGTGGTACTGTACTTTGTATTTGATACTCAAAACACTGAATAAAGAACCATTTGACATCTTCAAAGTTTCAAAGACTTTTTAATCATCCATTAGTTTTTAATTCAAAATGTGTCAGGCTGTTATTTTTTTATATTTAAATATCGAAAATTTAACTTCTTAGGCGTTGAAATGTAGTTAAAATAATTCATTGATATTCAAAAAAATAATAACGATTTAATATCTTAAATTATGTTCAAATGTTTGATCTAAAAAATATACTAAAAAAGAGGTTAAATTTTGGATTGGGAATTCATATTTTTTGGATACAGTATTGGCAATGATTTATGGACAGGCCTGTCTAAATATCAAGAAGCTTTTGAACATTATATTTGAATTGATGGATTTTTAGACATCCAACAAGGCTGAATTGAATTGACTTTGACACTTTTAGTTTAGTACAAGTCTACAGTAAATATCAACGGGAAAGGTGAGTGGTATTTATATTGAAACAGCGCTAATGACTAGTCGACGTAGAACACGCAATCAGAAAACTGGAAGTTGATAGAAGAGGTGATGGCCATATTAAATGTTTGATGCAATATTAGCTTATAGGTGAAATCTTGGACACTAACGTTAACGTCCCATTTTATGATTTGGAAAAACAATCATTCAGGTATAATCAGATTAACTGATTATGATCCTCGATATGAATCTAACAAAACACAGTAAATCGTCACAAACATTTTTTTGCCGGCCTTTCTCGGGGTTATGGATACACGCCACAGAAAGAAAAAGGGCACTTCAGTGTATAACATAAGCTTTAATGACGTGTGGGGAACCGTATTCTGTCTTGTCATCCTCCCATGTAATAATAAATACATTCTTCTATAGCGCATTCCGCAAAAAGCCTCAATATTTCAAAGAAAAGAAAAACAAGTAGTAAATGATTTTGAATTAAACTGCTGTACTTAAACAAAAAACCGCAAAAAGCCTCAATATTTCGAAGAAAAGAAAAACAAGTAGTAAATGATTTTGAATTAAACTACGGTACTTAAACTAAAAATAGTTCATTAAACCATGTGCGCTATCGGTGTAAGTATCCAGACAGGGCTCCACCCATTAATGTTAAAAACAATGTCGCTGTCACACCCGGGTGCACACAGGCACTCCGTTAGGCAGTATGCTGGGTTCCTCTAGCTCCCACCTCAGAATAAGCCAAAATAATATTAGATTAGCCTTAAAATTATTCTCATAAATAACCTCCATCCCCTAGAAAGAAAAAATCTGCTGACTTTACCAGCATGTGTAGGCCTTTATTTTTCCCCCCCCTGGCGCCACCCCTGGTCATCGTTAATTATAATTTACAGTATATCATTTTATTGGTATGCAAACTTCAATATTTCTTAATGGACAATCAGATGGCCTGCACATAGAATGGTATATTGAATAGGCTGGACCGAAATCGACGGATAAACCACATTTTTTCCCTTCCACGTGAAATTTAAAAGAGGGACTGTTAAAATGTTAATTAAGTCGGAACTTTAATTGCAATTTTAAAGTTATTAAAGCATCATCATTGTGTATTTGTTAAGTATAGTCCGTATCATTCTATGTCATTTTATTTATTATTCAAACTGCAATATTCCTTAATGGACAATCAGATACACACAGAATGGTATTCTGAATATGCTGGACCGAAATCGACGGATTAAACCACACCCTGAGAGATTTCAGTCTTGCAAAGAAACATTTGACGTCATAATAACTGCCGAAGAAAGAGTGTACGACCAGGTGATTGAAGATCTTCAGTCACGTGAGCAGACGTCTTATCAACCTGTACACGTAATCAATATTGATATCCAGGACAATCATGACGAGGCGACACTCGGTGCTTTCCAGGTTCTTGAGCTTTGCACCGTGGTAATTTTTTTAATTTAAAAAAAAAAATTGATATGGAGTTTTCGATTGCGCGACTTTCGCGACAACGGTATCTAGATCGCAACATCACCAAAAGTCATCTGCGCATGCGACGACGTTGAGCTTCTCTGGTCACCTGAAGTCTAGGACACGGGGTTTCCCCCCCCCCCCCCCCCCCCCCCACACACACACACCTATGCCAGTGGCGGAGTTAGAGGTGGGGTGGGGGAACTCCTCCACTCTTACTTTCCGTTAAAAATAACATACAATGCTAAATTATAATATAGTACCGTACTTTATTTGTCCTCATTTAGCATGAAATTGGAAATTTTGGGATCTGAGGGCCGTGACAGCAGCCGCAGTGCAGCGCCACCCGCACATACATATACAAATATGTTCCTTATCTTGCCTAACTCTCTCTATGTGAGGGTTATAGGTGGAGCCAAGATACTCAAATTAAAACCCGACGCTGGCCTGGTTTAAACTTGGATCTTCAGCACAAAAAGCAGGAACAATAATATGTAGTAAAAATTAACCCAAATTAACGAAAGTGCTAGAAGATTAAGGCCCTTGCACCCCTAGTGCAAGGGGCTGCCCTAAGACTCTTGCTCCGGTCACAGATTCACGCCCCTCCCCCTTCTTAACGGCTGGATCCGCTCCTGTACGTTGCACACAGCGGCGGAAAAAGCGTGGGGCTGGAGGCTTAAATCCACCACTTTTCCCCATCTCAGACAGTCAAACACGAATTGTCGGACCGTCACTGCCCCACATCGGACAAATCCTGGCAGCCGCGACATGGTTGTAAAGAGAGCGCAGGACGGTGTTACGGATGAGTGAATGCGTCAGGTGGTCGTCGTCGCGCGCAAATCAAAAGCTCCATACAGTAATTATAATTGATCTGCAACCTTCAATGCAACTGGTGTTATCATGTTACCATGTCAACTAGTAAGTTGTCTGTGCACTACTCGATATATTAGTGTCAATATGTTGTGATTTTACTGTGAAATTAATGTACCACTCGTAAGGTTATTGGAATCGATTTTGTCCTTTCATTCCATGCCCAATTATTTATATGGTTTTTTTGCAAGTTCATCGACTATTCATTTAATTAATACTGTATAAACTAATAATTTTTTTATGGGGCCTGACCATAAAACAACAGCATGTGACTTACGGAAGAAATATTGTGATGCAACTATAGATTATATGAAAACAAAATTCTCCCATTAGAAACAAGGAATTAACCAGTCATAATATTTATAACCTGTATTATATCTATGTAATGAAGGTGTGGCTCCAGTGGTTAAGAGGTTATACTTTCATTACAAACCGTATATCCTATACCTATAGTAGTAATATAGAACAGAGGATTATAATCCACCTATCCTCAAAAAATCTAAAGGTTATATAACCACACTGAAAAAGTTTATCTTAATGCATTTCAGATGGAACGAAGTAGAGATCTTGAGGACGACATAGACGAGATACTACAGGAATTTGAGCAGAAGTATGATCGTGAACTGTTGCATTCTGTGGCGTTTTATTGACGATAAATTACTAGGCACATGGAGTTGTTATAGTGAGGCCCTACCACTGAAAACAGTAGAAAGGAACGCTTTAATAGACAGCTGGTAAAGCGCCGTCAACTTTTCACAAAGCTGATTGGTCGCTCGAATCTGGGCGTCTTCCCAGTTGCGTCAGGGAGCTACCCAGTGTAACGATTGCATTGAAAACATTGTGCGACAGTGTATTAATTTCAGGAAACCAGGCTCTGGACGCCGTAGCCCTACATCATAACACATATTATTATCGAACTGAGCGTGGATCCGCACAATATTTGTGCTTAGCTTCTATAGTTTGCTACTTATACTGGCAGGAAAATATGTCTATAGGCTGAGGAGAGAACAAGGCTGGCACCATGATTTGCCCGACGGATGGGCCCCGATGTCTCTGACGGGGTCCCCAGTACCCCGACGAAAACATAAATGTGCGTTGCCAGGAGTTGTCCAGAACTACTGGAAGGGGAAAATCTAACAATTTAGGGATTTGAAAAGCTTGCGTAAACCAAGGAGGTATAAAATAATAAACTTTGAAATTGCATAGAACTTTTTTCTCCATGAAAATGTGTGGTTTTTCTCCCCGACCCCCCGCCGGTGGTCCCTTCTAGTAGTGGCCCTCCCCTAGGGACGAAGCGGTATGCCATTAATTAAAATAGTAATTGTTATTTTTTATTATTAAAGTATATATGCATTATATACACATTTTAGAGATATACTGTCGTCATAATCAATTTTAAAACACTCGGTAATTTATAATAGACATTAATTTTTTTACTACCAATATAACCACATCAACGAAACAGAAAAGTTTTGGCTAAAGATATAGATATTTACAACAGAAACCCGTGGTTTGATTAACAAACAAAATGTAAGGTATACAATAAATACAGAAACGGTATTGTATTTATACATGTCTGTTGATTGGTGAATATTTTACTTATTTTCAATAGTAATTATAAAAAAGTAAAGAAAATCAAATATGTTAAATCGTGGTTTTAGCTAGGCCTGATCATAATCTTTAACATAATCTCGACCACTGCGGTTATATAGCAGTAATTCATTAATGAGCGCATAAACAATGACCTAATGATATATTCCGTCTCTGTAAAATAATATTCATTTATTGATTAAGCTATTTTAAATTTTAAAGAAATAAATTATTTTTCACGAATATTCTCTGAACTAACGTTTAATGTACGGAATGTTATATAATTATAGTTAAATTATTGCCAGTAGTAGTAAAATCATATTTCTCTCTTGGAATTTAAAAGATACTCTTTCCGTTATTGGCAGTGATGGATATACATATCACCCAGCACCTTTGATTGTACGGAAATCTTTTATTCAATAAATCCGCCATTTATTGGGCGAATAGATTTTGTAGTCACTGGTGTCATTGAAGCAGTGGTGGCGCCAGCGGGGTGGGGGCAGGGACCACCGTCGGGGAGATCTGCCCTTCCACATCCCCCCCCCCCCGTCGGGGAGACAAAGCACAATTCGCCGGGACAAAAACAAATTATATGTATTTTCTACATATTAGTAGACTCTAAAATAGATTAAATAAGCCTTTGAAACCCCTAAATTGTCAAAATTTTCGGGGGATTCGTCCCTGGACCACTTTCGAAACCTTTTAATCGAAGCTCGACCACGCCCACTTTGCTTTCGTCAGGGAAATCTGACCCTTCGTCGGGGGCATCGGCCCCACGTCGGGGACCTCGGCCCCATATGGAAACGTTGTATCATTTGCTCTCCAAGGTCGCCTTAACCATTGGGGAAAACTGAATTTTTTAAACAAAAGTACATTTTTGGTACTAAATCTATGATTTTCTTGTAATGGCCCAAACGGATTATGTTGTGAAAATTATTAATCTACCAATTCGTGAAAAAAAAGGGGAAAAAATCGCTACAGTTTTGTCGGAAAACGCCGATTTACAACAGCTACAGTATAGGGAATTTTAAGAAATTTGACGTTTTTGGCTGTTCCGAGCTCGTTTCTAACTACAGTATCTCACTCACAGACTATTCGAGTTCGAGTTGGCCCAAGTGGATTCGTGGAGGGAATACAATAAGCTTGAGCCTGATATAAAACTTAGTAGGTCTATGATTGGTTGGGTAGAGTTTTATCGGAAAATAAGAAAATATTAAAACCATCTAATCCACGATTGGCTCTCATGGGGTCAAAAAATCTCACAAGCCTGATAGTCTGATTCACTGGTATGACGTCATACTTTGCTTGACTTGTGCTCGCAGTGTTTGACTTCTTTTTTCGTTTAATTTGGCCTAATTTAGTTATCAGTTGGATTTTTTGTGTGCTGTTAAAGGTTATTCATTTATATTTCCTTTATTAAAAAACAAATGTCCTAAGACAAGATACTTGCAGCAATTAGGCTATATTTCCGCAAAAAAATGCAATTTATAGTCTGGACCGTTTGAAAATCTCCGTAGGGGTGTAGGGTAGGGCTAAGCCAATCCCTCCAACACGAAAGCGTGGACTGGGGGAGAAGAGAGATCTCAACATTTGTTCACTCTACATTGTATTATGTGTATTAATATGTGTTCAAATACAAGTTTTAACAAAAGAATATTTACTGCGCAAATTGAATTTTGTTAGTATTTAGCCACATAAAAACAAACCCAATTATTTTAATTGGCCGATCCTAACTACCTGTACAGCAGGGTTTATTTGACCTCAGTTCGCTGCTTTCGTGATAGCTGAACTAGCAAATGATAAAAAGTGGCGCCACCCCTGCATTGAAGCTTGAACTATAATAGGTCCATGCTTGAACCATATAAGACGAAGGATACCAATTATCAGTCCTTTCAGGTCCGTCTGCAATCATGGTTAGTTATCTTGAAAATGCAACTCAGTTATCGACAACAATAAGTGAAAATGAATTTCAAATTAGCGATGAGGTTTTCACATTTGGAGTCGTTATGATCTGGATAATCACATGTATTACAGTTTTTGGAAATTTGTTAGTCATATTTTCTTTTATTCGAGATAAAAGCATACGATCAAAACCCGCAAATATTTTTGTATTGGTATTATCAATTGCTGATACCACAGTGGGAGTCGTCTCTCTTCCCTTTGCCAATTTCTGGGTTATGTTTGGTACATGGATATTTGGTGAAACTGTGTGCAAAATCAATCTATTTTTGGATTTCTCGGCTTGTGCGATTTCAACGTGGTGTATATTGTTACTCACTCTCGATCGCTACTGGATGGTAAAGAAACATTTGAGATACAAAGCGTTTATGACACATCGGAAGGCTAGAATCCTGTCAGCGGTGGTTGTTCTTTATTTTACCTTATTTTACGGAATAAATGTTTTCTTCTGGAGGTTAATATCAACTGATGAGGTAGATTATACAGAAGAATGTTTTTTAGCAGCAGGAGAGATCTTAATATTTAATATTGTAATAATCTTTGTTGAGTTTCTACTTATATTGGTTCTCCTCATATACTGGAATAGTAATGTCTTCAAAGTAGTTGTCGACTGGTCGACTGGTAAATCTCTCCGAAGAGACATTCAAGCAAAGTTGAAAGAAACCAAAACTATAAGGGCAATACCTACGAACACAAAATCCCCAGTGATATCACCCAGCAAGAATGAGGGAATTCGGGTTTTCCAAGGTACTCAACGAAACGAGATACAAAAAGCTGCCACCATGCTAGGAGCAGTCGTTCTTGGGCTCCTTGTCTGCTATACTCCATATTATATTGTTCTTATACTTGGCACACTAGGGGTCGTAGAGATAAACGACTTTATTTTGACCAGCGTGGACTATTTTCTGTGGTTTAATTCGTGCTTAAACCCAATATTGTACGCCGCGACTAACGAACATTTCCGAAGAAATTTTGTCGAAATTTTGAGTTGTAGACAAAAGAGCAAGCTGAATAAACATCTCCGGAAAGCTTCTAATTCTGCCACGTCAACACTACAAGCCGTGCACATGCCGCGTTAACATTGTTTCGAAACATTTAGCGAAGTGATTTAAATCATGCTGTAAAGAATAGAGTGGACAAAATTAATTCCCGTTGAAGCTTTAAAATAGATATAAACTTTCACATGTTTAAAAATATTCTTATAGCTTAACTTTTGAAATTCAGATGAAACCAACAATAAGCAACGGTTTGTACACTTTATAAGTTATTCGCATAATCTAATAGCTATTCTTTTAACGGTATTTTATGTTTTTTGTTTAATAGCATTCCGGGGATAAAGGATAGGCCTCTATACCCATTTATGTGCTTGATTATTTCGCAATAAAATATAATAATTTTAAGAGAATTTGTATTGTTTTTTGTTTTGTTTTGTTTTGTTTTGTTTTTGTTTTTTATAACAACGAATTATGTAGGCCTACTCATTTATATATTATCTTGTTGGCACTTGCAAACTTGAAATCATGTATTATTATCAAATGCCTTATCAGAAGAAAATATTTTTAGAATATCTTAGTAATTTATTTGGTTTAAATAACTGTATGGAAAATTACTTATTTATTAACTCCCAAACGTTCAAAATGTCGAATTAGAAATTGGGACATTCCTTATAATAATTATTTTTTACTCCGCTTATGGAACTTCCGTTGATTTCGATCAAATATTTGAGGTAGCATGGAGTAAAGAGGAATCCCCATTCTTAAACCAATGCAGTATATTTATATCACAGTAGGTATTCGATGTGTGAGATGAATTTCAGCTTGTGTACCGGTACTAAATATATTCATAATTCAATCATTCGAAGATTTGTCAAAAAGTAGGACAATTTAGGGTTGGACGGAACCGAGACAGATTTTAACCAAAGTGACCGTTTTATATATGACTAATTTATTCTTTAATTCTAAGATAATTAGTTTTTATTAGGTCATTTGTTGGTTCGTTTTTATTTATTCATTTTTTTGTGTGTATTTTGGCTGAATAAAGAATGAATCTTCTCGGTTTTTGCTTCTCCTAAATTGTTACAATGTGGTGTTCCACAGGGGATCCGTTCTTGGTCCTTTGCTCTTTTCACTCTATATTTTCCCCGTCGCTAAGATTATTCGTTCTCATCCTATCCACTTCCACATTTATGCTAACGTTATCCAGCTTTATCTTCCATTTTATCCATTCACTATTCACAAACAAGTATCGACAAAATGCATATCTGTATATCTGAAATAGAAAGCTGGCTCTCCCAAAACATGCTTAAATTAAACCCCTCATTTCTGTGGAACGACTTATCATTGTCAGTCGAAAGTCACCCTCCTTTGATTCATTTAAACTGAATTTAAAAATCTGTTTCAATCCATCTAGTCTACTGTTTCTGCGTTCATATCTAGATTGTCTTTTTACGTTTCTATTTATTACTCCACTACTTTATTCAATCCATGCTCTATGCATACTTTCGCGCCTTTGATCATTTATTTTGAAGTTGGCACATACTGTTTGTTTATTATTATTATTATTAATAACAATAATAATAATAATAATAATAATAATTATTATTATTATTATTATTATTATTATTATTAGTCACCCTATTTTATAATGCAACGTTCATAAAAAAAAATATTTGTCAGTTGTTTGGGCCCCTCTATTTCGAATTCCTGGATCCGTCACTGGCAACGAACACACACAAAAAATACAGTGTCTCGAATAAGGGTCATTTACATACAGTGGCGGATCTCGGAGGTGGTGATCGCATGAAATTGTTTAAATAAGAGATTACTATGGCAAAAATCATGATCTTCCCATTACAACCTCCTAGACCCATACAATAGGAGAGGAAATCTCAACCCCTTCCCTACTCGAACCATGTTTTTGCGGTGTCAATTTGTGAAACCTTGGCAACAATACCCAAGGGGTGGGCTTAGCGAAAAGGTCCATTTCTCCATCAATGTCAGCTACTCCCAAACAGTCTCCCAAAATACGTGATGATAGCAAGAAATTATGTTAAGTCGATGGAAAATGTTTAATGTTTATCAGGATAAATTATCGGTAAGGTTTTATCTCTTATAAGTTAGACCATGGTTAGACATAGTCTGTAAAATTAAATCCCATACGCAATTACTTTTAACGAGACATTCGTGCTTTCGAAAAATAAAGCGATCAAAATCCCCGCCCAATCAATAATTTATATCCCAATTTCGTGCTCGGTTTCATCATTAATGAACAGTCATGCCTACTTTTTTCAAGGTTGGACTATTAGCTTACTTTTTCAATTATTAGATACTCACTAAATCAATCAATCATTGTCGTTATATTTTGAAATGTGTTTCCTGTTAGGGGTGGGCATAAAAATCGGTCGGAGGGCCAAAGTGAATTTTTGATTTAACACCGAGAGGGCTGCACCCAAACTTTGATGTTTCCAGGATAAATTATCGGTAAGGTTTTATCTCTTATAAGTTAGACCATGGTTAGACGTAGTCTGTAAAATTAAATCCCATACGCAATTACTTTTAACGAGACATTCGTGCTTTCGAAAAATAAAGCGATCAAAATCCCCGCCCAATCAATAATTTATATCTCAATTTCGTGCTCGGTTTCATCATTAATGAACAGTCATGCCTACTTTTTTCAAGGTTGGACTATTAGCTTACTTTTTCAATTATTAGATTCTCACTAAATCAATCAATCATTGTCGTTATATTTTGAAATGTGTTTCCTGTTAGGGGTGGGCATAAAAATCGGTCGGAGGGCCAAAGTGAATTTTTGATTTAACACCGAGAGGGCCGCACCCAAACTTTGATGTTTCCAGTGAGCTTCCAAAAACTTGCGAGCACTGCTTTTACATTACTTTATTCTCAGTTTTAATGTTACTTTTTACATATGATTGTTGTCGGGCTATAAAAACAAGGGGTTTTCTAGCCAATTTTGATTGGTGGGCCGCAAACCTAGGGTTTTTAATTCATTGTCGCGGGCCGCAAGAAAATCGCTAACGGGCCGCATGCGGCCCGCACTTTGCCCACCTGTGTGTTAGAGCGAATATATTGTATGATAGGCCTATAAAGGCCTATTATATATATATATAATAATAATTTAATAACTATAGACTTTCTATATCTGTAAAACAGAATTTAGGGATTTCATCAGTGCTATAATGACGAAGTCTAGCGTAAAATAACACGAAAAACAAAAATGAAATCATACAGAAAATTATGAAGTTAAAACACATGAAAACCAACTCGACGTCAGGGAAACTCTAACTATGACTACTATTGATATTCAAAATATGTAGTATTTTGTCATATTGCGATATGCACATCGTTGTGATCTGCTTGACAATATTCAAGTACGGAAAGTGACCAAAGTGCCGGTCAAAAATCTCTGTTCAAATCAAATTGGAAAACGGGATGGAAGAAAAATAAATTAGGCCTACAAGAAAAACAACGGCTATTAAAAAAAAAATCAAGTTAAAAAAAAGGGAAACTAACTAGACGTTAGTGAAACTCAAACTATAGCTGCAATGGTAATAGGGAGGGTGACATTGAGATAGGCCTACACAATAATCATTGCGCGCTAAATTTAATAATTTCTTCTTTGTAACTTGGTTATATTTTCCAAAACGATTCATTTAGATCAGTTGGTCAATTTTTGATATATCTGGTCTAGGACGTTTCCGATTTAATGGTCCTCATATCCGCACCCTACTTCTGATCGTCACCGAAATTTAATCATTTCTTCACTGGACCATGGCAAACTATTCTGAAAAGTTTTATTTAGATCCATTGATAAATATTTTGAAATATTCAGGTCTGGGACGTTAGCACTTTAATGGCCCTTAATTCACACCCGAATGCGGATCGTCACCACAATTAATTAATGTCTTCCTTGTAACTTGGTTAAACTTTCCCGAAAACTTCATTCAGATCAGATGATCAGTTTTTTGAAATATTTGATTTGGGATGCTTTCCTTTCAAGAGACCTCATATCTACACCCTACACCGGATCGTCACCAAAATTTAGTCATATCATTGGACCGTGACAAACTATTATATAAATTTTCACTTAGATCCATTGAAAGATTTTTGGATATTTGTCACACCCAAAACTCAGACGTCACTCAAATGATCTTTGCAGATAATTTTTTATTCGTTTTTGAAATATCTGGTCTGGGAAGTTTTCCTTTGAATGGGCATCATATCCACACTATATTACGGATCGTCACCAAAATTTTATCATTTCTTTATACGACCATGACAAACTATAACAGAATGTTTCATTTGATACACTTTTTGAGATTTTCTTTGGAATGTGGTCTATGTTTTGACAAAGTTTGAAAAAAGATCCAAGCATGGAAAGTGACCGAAGTGCCAGGCAGAAAAAACACTGTGCAAAACACAGAAAAAAACAATATGCAATAAAAAAAAAAAAATCAGAACAAAAACAATGGCATTTCCTGCGACTGCTAGGAAAATCTAATAATAGTTTGATTTGTTTAGCGCATCATACAAGAAAGCCTCTATGCGCTTAAAAAATATACATGTATATGTTAATATAATTGAAATGCCTACAAATGCAAATCTCTGAAATTTGCCACATAATACAGTAGTGTATTACCAATTTTGTGCATATAGAAATCGAATATCATGTAATTAATTTAAAAAGGTCCCTATATAGACGTACCGTATCGAAACTAGGAAAAACGATGGTGGCGATGACAGCAACAGTGGTGAAATGGTGAAACGGCGAGTCATATTATTAGGTCTATGCATAAATCGTCATTTGAGTACATGCATTTCATTAGCCCCGGGCCGCTCTTACTTTTTAAAAAAATTATAGAAAAATTACCACATTGTCAAGGTGTTGTAGTAGTGCTGAGCTCAGTATTTAGTAAGAGGAGTTCCCGATGCCCCTCTGACTGGAGACCAGACTGAGACTGGCCCCCAGAAAAAGACACAGGCGTTACGCCACTGTTAGTAAAGTGTTAGATAGTAGTAGGAAAACTCCTGGTCCCCAATGGGGCCCCCTTTTTTTTTTTATGAAAATGTTATTTTATCCATTAGAAAGTTACAATAGAAACAGAATACAATAGAAACCTGTAAAAATGCATTCGCTCAAATATACAATTTATTGAATAAATACAGGACATTTACAACAATCATCGTGTTCCATAACAAAAAATTGCATATTAGAGCTCAGTATGCATACAGTGGCGGTGACAGCGGGCGGAAGGGAGACAGGGTTAGTGATTCTTCCCCACCCCACTCCCTGCATACCCCCACCAGGTCGTCTTACACATAGATGTGTTATGTATTACAGTATTTGGTATTTATATAAGCCTGGTTCTCACGAGAGCCCTAGTATCCAGATCGGGAGCTAACCGTTAGCGCTAGGCCTAACCGTTAGCACCTGAGTGAGAACACCCGATCGGTTAGCGCTAACCGTTAGCAGTATCCGGATACCGCTAACGGTTAGAAAGCGCTATCGGTTAGCAAGTTGAGTGCGTTTCTATCATCAACCAATCACACATACGCATTTACAATTTCCAGTTTCTTATTGGCCAGTGATTCGATCATCATATTTTTGGTATCCATATCGGGATTTTCTCGTATGGACGCACGCCAGCTAACGGTTAGCAGGATTCGGATCCTGCTAACCGTTAGCTGGCGTGTGAGAAAAAAGCCATAGCGCCTATTCCTTTAGGTTACGAAGCGCTTTGTTTTCCCAAAGCCATGTGTTGCAGCCATATTGGTGCAGTAGCAGGCAACCCCACCAGGTACCCATTTATAATCCTGGGTGGAGAGAAGCAATAGGGGAGGGAAACAAATTACGGGTATATGTCTTTATTACATATCAGTAGACTCTAAAATCGATACACTAAGTTTTTGGAGCACCTGAACCACTTCCGGGTGTTTTTGAATGACGACTAACCACGCCCACTTACACTCTTGTCGGGGACATCGGCACACCAATCCCACCCCAATCAGGGACATCGAGCATCAACCATAAAATCTCTAACCCAGGCATTGTTGCAGCTCTCCTTTGCCTCCTCACATGCACAACAAAATCGAAGTTGGATTGGACAGTCAATCCAACAGCATAACATCACATCATTGGGGCCATATAATAAAGGTGGCTAGTAGCATAGCTACGCATTCAATTTTTAAATTTACCATTATTCTGAGAAATAATGTTCATTAAACTAGCCTAGGTACAGATTTTAAAGCAGCGTTTATAAGTTGTTGAGCTTAAATATCGTTCCCTCGTGCCGTGCTGTGCCTATACGTGGGCCGGTTATAGCAGCAGTAGTGAGGAAACAAAGAATGGGTTCACCATGAGATAAGTTGAAATTTACTTCCGGAGTAGTTTCGTTACACGGTATTTAACGTTAGCTGGGACTTGCTCAAACGATCGACCACCCACTGAGTGCTCGGCGCGATTAACTGGTAAAATAAACGGAATATGGTTGGCGTTTTTAGCTCGAACGGGCCCTTAGTGCCCCTTGCTTGGGACCCCTTTTGGCAAATTTCTAGAGCCACGACTAGATGCAGAGCATATGATGTCTTCAAAACATAAACTATACATCTGTATTAAGTAAACAAATCATATCAATTTCCATACATATGTTCCTAAAGAAGCTGGGCAAAGTTGCAAGATATTAATGTGTGAAAGTATCATCAGGAATGATTAATGTCGAAATATTGAATCCCAACACGATGGCATGTATTTCAATACTTGGAGTATGTATTATACTTTCTTATCTGAGATTAATCAGTGGACCTTTCGATTAATGTGTGTTTTTTTAAGTAATTGCTCACTATATTAATAAGATTTCATGTGGCATATAGCTTATAGGGTTCATTAGTTCCTTAATTCATATAAGGAACAAATGAGAAACACAACTTTAACCTTTAGTAGTCTTGCACATGTTACAAAATGTCTTTAGCAAAAGCTTTCAAAAACTGTACAGTAACTAGAAGTTTCAAATGCAATTAACATATTTTCAGATAATATAGAGTAAATCAACTGGTATCAGTCAAAATATCTAACTTGGTACTGTCAGATCTGACATCTTTAATTAAAAGTATTGATTATTTTGGAATAGTAACTTGTGACACTGTCAAGGTTTTAAAGCAATACATCATGTATGACAGTACTCAATTAATCAACTGATTTCAATGTTACATCCCTTTTCGTACCACGTTTATGTGCAATATAACTTTGTGTTTGTTTTGTAAAATTTTACTCAATTTAGCAACTGGCTACAATGTTAATTCAATTTTTGAATAAATCCTTGAATGAAATGCACATGTAATTTGTTGTGTTAACTGCATGGCACACAGTGAGCATCAAAGACGAATCACACATCTTCACCTCCAGCCCTGATGGAGTGCTTTAATGGCAGCTAGTTTCTTGGTGATGATGGCAGCAATGACGAGGCCAACTACAACGGTTGCGATCAGTAGGTAATCAAAGTCTTGGTTGAGAACATCAAACAGTTTAGACGGAGAAATTCTTGTATAATAATAATCTGACAATGAAATATACAAATAATATCATATTGTGACCGATTATAAAGATGTAAAATATTAAAGTACGCTAATTTTTAATAATTATGAATATTTAATTATTGTACCCATAATACAAAACTATTGTCAATGTTTTATGGTGTCATTGGAAAACAGAACCCTTAGAGCAAATATTTCTGGGGAAAACTGCTGAAGCCTCACAGTGCCTTAAAATAACTGCTTCTACGCCAATCACCATGTTATCTCATCCAACCTAGTCCTGAGCCATTTCTGCACAATCAATACAATCATTATTATTACCTAAGCCATAAGCAAGAACAAGACATGTGGACTCCAGTCCTGCAGGTGATGTGAAGATACCTTCAATGCCAAAAACCTACGATGAATAAAATCAAATCAAATATAATAAATTTCAGTATATTTATAATTGTTATAAAAATATTTTATTTTTGTTAGATTTTATTACAAAATGAATGAGGTGAATTTTATATTTTAAAATGGGTACCTGGAAGGGTTGCCTACTTCTGTACGAGCACAGCAACAAAAAATAAGAATATGGGCCCAATGACCGGGGATAAAAAATTCCTTGTGTTTTTTAAATGTTCACTAGGAGATTTTAACGTATCATGTCCACCTTTAGGCACAAGGTCCAATGATATGTCAAACAGTGAACCTAATCACTTTTATCCTTCCACAAGACAAACATATGAAAAAGATAGGCTGTCTCCTTATGAAGTTTTTTTTTTTTTTTTTTTTTTTTGGTGTTGAGAAAAAATTCTGTTACTGTGACAGGAATTGAACCAAGGTCTCTGGGATTGGTAGGCAAGCATCTTAGCTTTAAAGATATTCAACTCGAATCATACTCACTGATTGGTTATAATTAATAAATGATTGATGTGGGAGAGGAAGTTCTGGTAGATATGGTATCAACCCTTCCTCCCTATGTTCTGGCAGTGGTTCAATCGGCCGTCGTGGGTCAAGGAATCTTTTTGGAAGAACTACTAAACCACCTGCTTGCAGAGACACTGAAATAAAAATAATGAAACCAATCAATCAATCAATCAGTCAAACTTCCATAGTGGCATCCATCAAGTAATAATTGGTGACTAAAAAATTAAGTGTCAGTTATAAGGGCAAGTAAAAAAATTAATTGCTTATTCTGCTCCAATTTTTCTTCTTTTTTTTTGCAGGTTACTATTTTTTTTTAATATCAAAAAATTAAGATCCTTTCAATGGAATAGCAATTAGTATGTTACTATCATTGGTATTTTTCATTATCTTCTTTTTTGGTTAGTGTACATCAGATACTAGCAGAACCACTTTCTATCAAATATCCTAGTTAAAGTGCAACACTTCCAGATACAAAAATAATCCCTTACCTTTTCTGATACAGAATCTCAATCAAATAGCAGTGCACTTTTTATTATATTTCTTCTTAAATTTATTATAAATAACAACAATAAATAACTATCTAGGTGTTTTCTATTTGAATAATTAAATTTGTCATAAATAATAGCAATAATAATCAATAATAAATAATTCTCCAATTTCGATATTTTCTTTTTTTTTCATTTTTTCTTCTGCATGTTCCTTGTACAATTTTGTGTTTCTTTTCACGACTTTTTAGTTTGTTTTTTTTTTTAACTTGATTGAATTTATTCTGTATGATTCTTGTGCAATTTGGTAGTTTTTTCAATGATTTTTTATTTATTTTTTTTCTATTGATGACCCTAATTAAATGATAGTTATAGTAAAAATAATAAATGATAATGATCACGTTTTTTTTTTGTGCAATATTCAAACAAATAATTGAATTAATGAATGGTTAGAACTTTTATTATGATAATGATTTTGGCATTTTTATTGTTCTCTTTATGAATGTTCTGTAATGTCCAGTGCATTTTTTGCCTTTTAAGTATGAATAGTAGCAATAATCACAATAATAAAATAATTATGATCATGAATGGATGTTCCCTTTTTTTGTTTTTTTTTATAGCAAGCCGTACTTTTTTTTTTTTTTGTGCAATATCAAATATATAATTGAATTTAAGATTTGAATAACAATTTTTTTATAATAATGATTGTGGCTTTTTTTTCTCTTTATGAATTTTTTTTTTAACGTCCAATGCATTTTTACCTTTTAAGTATTTGTATGTTTAATGTGAATTGTTGTTTTTTGCAATTCAGTTCTTAATACTACAATGTTATATTCAGCAATTCTTCTTTTATCTTTGTTTTTGTTTACATTTGAATGTTTGAATAAGATATACCATGATAATTCAATTGAAAAAAATATTATTATCACTTTCCACATTTAGAAGTATGGTAATAAAATACTAATAATTGTAAACTTCTATTACACTCTTCCTTATATTAAATACTAAAAACAAAAATAAAACAAACCAACATACATATAATATTCTTGTGGGTGATTCCCTTTTCTGTGTGAGACACCGCCATCGCTTGAACCAAGGATGGCAAGATATAGGACTGACGCTCGACCAGAGGAGACTCCGGGGGATCAAGGGATGAAAATGCTGTACTGTTTTTCTGTATTTTCCCTTCATAAAGCTCCAGAGCTGTTATCTCAGCACGTCTGCTTTTACTATTCCAATATTGATACTGAAAAATTATTTGTAAAAGAATGCTAGTGTGGATCATTCCAGTTGTAAATACTACCCATCCCTCAATTTATCTTCAATTCTCTAAGAGGAAGAGGGTGTGGGGATAGCACTCTTCCAGTAAATGTACCCCCACTAAAACATTAGCCAAAAAAAAAAAAATACACTCAAATTAGTTAAGACTGAAGCCAGGGTTGAGAACTGAAATACCACTTCAATACCCCAGCTAATGTCATCTACTTTTTATCATGCTCCTGTCACCAGCACACCAGTATCGTATAAGTCTTGAAATGGGGGGGGGGCACGAAAGTGAAGTGGGGGGACTCAATGATCAGTTGAAGGGGGAGCTAATTCGCAAAATATGGTGATTTTTAGGTGATTTTCTACTACTTGACTGTGATTTTTTGGGGGCGACTGGGGGCGCGAGTAATTTTTTTGGGGGCGTGAGTAATTTTTTGGGGGGCATGTGCCCCCCCTATAGATACGCCACTGCAGCACACACACCCAACCACCAAATGTTATTAATAATAAATATGCAACTACAGTGCACACAGTTAATAAGTTCAAATTTATTCATCTACATGGTAGTAAATCTTTAAATTGGCTCATAATCAATTTAATAATTTTCATAGTATTGTCTGTACATTCAGAAAAAAAACTAATCACTAATTATTAAAATCTAATCCAAAATAAAAATGCTCCACCACTAGCTCAAGAAGAATTCAAGGTCACTAAAATAAAATGTCATTATCAATTTTAAACTGTATTGATTTAACAGAGTGAGAAATAGCACTTTATTTCTGTCTATTTCATCAGCAAATGCAAGCATCTAATTTAGGCTGTTATTAAAAGCCATCTATCAAATTGGTTCCACATTCATTTGTAGTGAAGTGGCACGTACTAAAATTATTACTATTCAACCATTTGATGAATATGTTCAATCAGTGGTTGTTAATGAACAATGAGTTGTTAACAAAAAAGCATATTAATAAACTGATGGACAAAAGCATGATTGATTTGATTATAATTTTAATATATTCCTTGGTGATATATATATTTTTGACAGAATGTTTATTGAGTTAGGAAGAAGTAATATCAAGAAGGATATAGTTTATGGGAAATTGTATCCTGCAATCAACATCACTTTAGACTTGTTTACATTATGTTAGTATTCTACTAATAAATAACAACCAACTTGTTCAATGCATCAAAGCATTCTTTGCAAAAAATACTCATCTATTTTTTTTTTCAGAATATATTTCTGCATTACTATATTCAGGAGCGGATTCAATTTCAACACATACAATGCCACGTATTAAAATAGGAATACAAAACGAAAGTGAAAATAAAAAAAAGAATACAATACAAAAATGTTTCAATAGGGCGTACAGCCCTTTGGTTATGCCACTGATGTTGGTGTTTCCTACTTCCTATTTTGAAAATTTGTGTCCCCCTCCTTTGAAAATTCTGGATTCGTTATAAAATCATTCAAACCTCAGCATATTTTTTTTCCTTCATACTCTTTTAAAAATTGTTCATAATCCTTATCAACCCCTAATTTTTTCTATTCCACAATGCTAAACTTCCAGGACCAAAAGGAAGATTGCCATTGGTGTAGTGAATGGGTGTGCATAAAATGGATTAACAGGGGAATGAGGGCGCCGCATAGAACCCCTGATGGGGTAAAATTTGTTTCATTCCCCCGATGGGATATACTTGCTTTCCCTCCGACAGGGGGCTAGTCTCCCCCGATGAGGGGGCTATAGCCCCTTAATTCCCCCCAACCCTTGGCACCACCACTGGTTGTAATGCCCGATTTATTACTGGTTGAGATGTAAAGATTTAAGATTCACTTTTAAGTTTAATTACAGAAATAACAAATTATATAATATTCAGTAAATTTTTGAATGTCTTTGATTTAAGGGTGCTTACGGAAATGTGTCCGACTTCTCTACACCATTCTCGTCAATTTCCCTCCCATCCCTGTTTGAGCATTCTGTTTACGATCAGCTTATGAAAGTTATTAGATATTAATAAGAATATTTTTAGTATTGTAATTTGTTTTCGTTAAATGTTTTTCAGAAATACTTGTCATATGATTTTCATTAATGCAGAGGATATCTCAATATGGGTCAAGTAGCAATAAATTATCAATTAACTGATCCATATCCACGTTTAATGGTATTTTCACTGAAAAACAAATTTTGTGTGTTTTCATTTATGACGTGATGAATAAATTGAATTCTGAATTTTGATATTAGTGCATATTGACTATTCTAATGAAACGAGGTTGTATCTCATCAGCAAAATCTTGTTAAGTACGTACCACAAAGACATTAAGTACGCTATCAACAAGGTCAGAACTATAATTGCATGTAATTAACAACAAGTTAATTATCACATGTCTCTGTTTTCTCTTTATTCATAAACAGTGCATCCATTCAAAAGCAAATTATTTTCAAAGGAGTCTATTCGTATTAATACTTTTTAAATCATATAAAAGGTTGTTTTCACGAAACTGCAAAAACTTAACCTAGATATTCTAAGACAGTGACATGTTTGTCTTGTTTAGCTAACACTTTCAAGGTCCCTAGAACTTCAAATTATAATACCAGTCCATTAGAACAAGTACATACTTAAATAGAAAGGGTTGTTATTCAGGTAGATAATTTATATAGATATACAGATTTTTCTATTTTAGGATTTTAATTCAAATGTGAAATAGAAGTTTTCAATTTTTTTTTTGCTCATAACAAGCCAAAAAGCAGAACCAGAAAGGGATGTTTATAGAAGTAGATAATTTTTATGAAAAAAAAAAGTTCAGTTCAACTCACAGTTATCCAATTCTCAGAGTGGACAACATGAACAGGGCCTTCGACTCGCTTGTGATCTACACTGAAAACGATGGCACCATTCACAACATCCACAAGATAAACACTTAGACGAGCTATAAAAAATACATTAACCATTTAGACACAATTTAGAGCTTCCGACTACATTCAGACTTGGAGATAAGCTAGGCTTACATTAAGCCCAGCTCAAGGTTAAGCCCTGCTTAACTTTGCCGGGCATTCAGACTAGCTGGATTAGCCAGACGCAAGAACCTGAAGTTAAATTTGCATATTCATGGACTGGAACCAGGAAATGATTTTCAAAACATTGCGCACAAGATGTACATTTGCTCACAGCAGACGTAATGAAATGCTGATTGGTCAATTTTTGATTCACAGTCAACTAAAGTTAAACTGGGTGGCATGCCAGGCTAGTTACTATAGGAACAACGCCAAGCTCAGACTGGAATGTGGTAAACCTGGTGAGTTATCCACCTAGTCTGAACTAGGCCTTCATGTCAATTGTCATAGATCAAACATGTGAAGGATGTTAAACAAATATACAGCTCTGTCATGATGTGCCAATATATGGTCATGATGTGATGTCGTCATGACCATATTTAGGTATGTAAAATGTTTTAGTCAAATAAAATGATCATTTGGACAGGGCTTAATAAACTGACAAAAAACCATAGAGCTATTAAACAACTAGAGTGCTGACAAGATGGCGGAGCAATGCAGAGTTGTGTATGTGTACCATCCAAGATGGCTGCCGTAGGAAAGCGCCACCTTCAGGCTTAGTATACATATTATTACCCTAAATAAGCCCTCTGACTGAATATTATTTCATTAATGATAATTAGTATTGATAATGACAAATTATTAAACTGTTGTAGCCAAAAAGAGGCCAAGTAGAACATCTTATTCAAATATTAAAAAGAATTTAAATTGTGTGCATTACATCCATACACCGCAACGCTCGAGTTTCAAAATACGGGTAACTAGCTGTACTGAACTTTCTGTGTAAATTGAGGGCGCAATTGAAAATGATAGCGCTCAGGGGAAATTTGATTGGCTGAATCTATGGCAGCCATCTTGGATGGTACACACACACAGCTCTGCGTATTTCGAACATCGAATACATTGCTGTTAGCGCTCTAGTATTCTTATTATATCTCTATGCAAAAAACAAACTATCTGAACCAGGGGTTCTCAACTATATTGCAATAGGGGTCAAATTTATTCACTGAATAAATTTTAAGGGCCAGGGGAAGTGATGTACTATGGCACCTAGTGCCACAGTTGTGAACCAGGGGAAGGGTTTGGGAGGGGCTCTCCCATTTCCCTAATTAGGAATTTAAAAAATAATTCTGTAAGCTGCTAGATGCTTATACAGGGCTTCTTGACTTAAGGAAGTCCATTGTTGTACATGGAACTACACACTACAGACAGGCAGCAGAGCTAGGCCGACTAGCCTTGTAACATCAAGCGAGGGACTGTGCGAGAGGCCAAAAGTTGGCGTATTATGATTATTTTTCTTTGCTGTTTGCTGCGATAGTTTCCGATTTGATTGATTAAATCGCTAAAATTTGTGGGGCAATATATAGGCCTAGTTGGCAAAACAGAATGCAAAATTATTAAGGTTATAAATATAGGCCAAATCCTAATGGAGAATATTATTTTTGGGCTTGTTTTTGAGGGCTGCATAACAGGCACTCGCAGGCCGAAGATGGCCAACAAGCCGCCAGTTGAGAACCCCTGATCTGAACCATGTAAACAGCACAATAAATAGCACACTGTAGGAAAACATATCATGAATCTTTCATTGATTTCTTGATTCTTGAATTGCAGAGAGTGACTTAAATATAGTGGGTATATATAATAATGTAAAAAATGATGATGATGATTTTTTTTAAATATTAAATTTTATAATTTTATATTTTTTGATATTATATTTTTTTTATTAAGGATAATAATAAAGAAAATAGTATTATAAATGATGATAACGATGTCAGTAATAATGACCATGATAAAAAAAAAATGAATATGCTAATAATTATGAAATTTTAATAAACTTACATTTAGATGGACCATCGCTTCCCTCTGTGGTCACTACAACCAAGTTAGGGTTCAGATACTTGTAAAGGACTGTCCTGTCCCCAAGAACTCTACCCTGAGAATGAACCTCCTCTGGGGGGAAAAACAGTTTAATTGGTTCATGAAGTGAAATCTTTCATTGAAAGTCCTGAATTTAAATCCTGTTTTGGAATATTTCAAAACCAGAGCATTTTCACCACCAAAATACATATCTCTAGTTCATCAAGTAAAATCTTTCATTTTGAAAGTCCTGAATTTAAATCCTTTTTTGGAATATTTCACAACCAGAGCATTTTCACCACCAAAATACATATCTCTAGTTCATCTTAAAGATCAAATTCTTTCAGGATTTATAAATACCTACATAAATATATTACAGTGAACATATAAAGGCTCTCCTCGCAGAAGGCATACTGTAAGATTATTTGGCCAGGGTTTATAGGAATCTATTTATAAATATCTTAATGTTCATCTTAAAGGAATGTCAACACAGGACCAGTATATCAGTTAGAAGACACACCAGAATATCAGTTAGAAGATACACCAGTATATCAGTTAGAAGAAGCACCAGTATATCAGTTGAAGAGACACCAGTATATCAGTTAGAAGACACACCAGTATATCAGTTAGAAGTCACACCAGTATATCAGTTGGTAAAGAGTTTATAGAATTCCACAATAAAATCTTACAGTTAGCATCTTATAGAACTCCCACCAGTATACACAGCAGTACATCATTTGGAAAGGGATTAGAAATATTGAAATAAATCATTGAAATTTAAGAAACCCTAAAGCCGGGCGCTCTCTGCGTCGCATGGCGGTCGTACGACCGTCGTGCAACCGTCGTATGAGGAATCCAACTCCGCTCCATGTGAGCGCTAGACAACGTGAAGCTGTCTACTGATTTCCGGTTGCAGTCTAAACGGATCTTAATAAAAAAAAATGACTGTTGCGCGCGTTGTGGCGTTGCGTGTCGTATACAATCGCGTCAGACGACGACCCTCGGGCACAGTAGGTGCCCGGCTTTAGAAAAAAATACCTGTAGATCGTTTGACGTAAATGCCAGTGATCCTTTTTGAAGTTGGTGGTAGTTTGATTCTCCAGATCTCTTGAGCTTCAATTTTGCTGTCAGTTGTGACCTTAAGTGATAATCCTGAAAGTCTAGCAACCTCCCTTTCAGCAATGAACATAAATATTGAGTTGCCATGCTTCTTAACAATACTGACAGCACTAGAAGGGTACACATGTACCTAGGTGTTATAAAAACGAATAATATTATGAATTATTATGAATAACAAACGAAAAATTATATTTTTTTTCTTTATATTGTATCTTTCTATGGTTTACTTATTTAATCCTAACTTCTTCTGGCAAAGCCATTCATCTATTGCTTGAATACCTGACTTTCATACCTTATTATTGTCATCGAGCAGCAGTATTGGTTTAAGGAAGTCTGAATCCATAATCCCAACCATACTTAGCTGCTTCAACTTGAACTGAAGTTCTTTTCCGTTGGGAAACTGCTCAAACTCAGCCGTAGGTTTACCAGTTATGGGGTTGAAGGAGTAGATTAGAGTGAGTCCAGATATCTATAATAAGTAATAATGCTTTTAGGAGGGATTTAACTAGTAGAATTATACCCCTCAAATCTGTTTGTTAGATAATTAAAGAGTACAACCACTGCATAAAAAAACACCAATAATTTATTCAGATATGAAGTGCCGATGAATTCGAAAGTGAGTCACCATGACATTACATTTGAGCCTCCGAAGGGTTCAAAGAGTAGATCAGTTGGTTAAGATACTGTATCCGGATAATTTAAGGTATAGGAATAGTGCTGCAGTGAGCCACATTCATGTCTCAGCAAATCTTATTTATTTATTAAATATTCAGCACAAAAATCACTGATCAGAAAATGGCCAGAGGAGTGCCTAGAAGACACCATAGGCTATGAGAGCTCAACAAAACATGTGGGTATTCTTTATGTTTTATGTTATTGCCTACTGACAACAATGTAAAATACTGTATAGGCTACCAGTGGGAGCGTGTTTCTACTGCCTTATTTATACTTAAAAAAATGTTTACAGTTTGAAATGCAATTTTGTTTTAGTTTTTGACTCTAATTGATTTCTAATAAGGCACCCCTACATCGTGGTAATATCCATCATGCATGGATTTATACACATGACCTCTACCAGATTTACTGTTCTAGAATTAACTGCCAGACTATGCCTCAAGGGGGCAGTAGACACAATAATTGTAAACAGTTTTTGTTTCAATCAATGATAATATTTCCTGCATGTCTTAATACAAAACAATAGTGTTAACAAAAGCCTTACTCTGTGTCTTCCAACAACAGTGCATAGAGGAGGGTTTGGGAAATGTGCTGTTGTACGCTGAATAAACAGCGCTACTTTAGATTTTGAGCCGTCTTGGAACGTAGCAAGACTTGGAGAAAAATGACTCCAAAAAATTGAACCATCCGTGGAATCAATACCATAAATCTGAAAACAGAAAATAATTGAAAAATAAATTGCATAATTTTGCTATAGTAGCACAAAACATTGAACTTAGTTTAAATATACCTTGAAGGCCACACCTCCATTTTGATGCCATGAGTAAGTTTAGCAAGGTTACAGGACCTCAATTATCTATTAAAAGCCTGGTTCCTAGTATCCGGATCAGGAGCTCTAACCATTAGTGCTAACCGTTACCACCTGTGTGAGAATGCCTGATCGGTTTAGCGCTAACCATTAGCGGTATCTGGATACTGCTAATGGGTAGCAAGTGCTATTGGTTAGCAAGTTGAGCGCGTTTCTATTATCAACCAATCACACGTACGCGTTTACAATTTCTAGTTTCTTATTGTCCAGTGATTCAATCATATTCTTAGTATCCGGATCGGGATTTTCTCGTATGGACGCACGGCAGCTAACGGTTAGCAGGATCCAGATCCTGCTAACCGTTAGCTGCCGTGTGAGAACATAGCCATTAATTTCTGCTTAAAGCGAGGGAGTGTCTGTGCTTTTAAGGTGTGCTTGGGAATTGTTCCAACCATCACTAGGCTGTAAAATTGCTTTTGGCTAGTTTTTGAATCACACTTCATTAATGTCGAATAATTCTCAGCCTTTTTTTTTTTTTGATTCTAGCAAATTTAAGGGATATGCAAAACAAAAACAATAATATTATTTATACATCGGTAAATTGACTAAATATATTCTCATTATAATTTTCTACTGAAACTTAACTCACATATTGAAACAAATATTTTTTTTTTAGCTCAACAAAGGCAAATATTCTTAAAAAAGTCCCTTTCATTATTTAAACTAAGGTTTTGTAATTCAACGTAATTACAAGTATTACTTAATATAGGCCTAACTATTATTTTATATGTGTCTTTATTATATTGATATAATACATTTTAATGTCAGTCCTAATTGCTGCTCTTTAGAACAACAGACCTTTCTGGAGTGTCAATCAAACAGCACTAAGAATACGCGTGCGTCTCACAAACACACATGTTGTCCCACAAACGCACGTGTTCGCATATGTTTTAACACTGTCGTCTTGTGGGACCTTAGCAACAATATCCAAGGGGCGGGGCTTAGCGGAAAGGTCCATTGAAGCTTGCCGTGCCAAAACCAGCATCAGTGACCAAAACAAGGAAAATTGACTTTTACATAAACACATTAAAAGTGTTAAAATGAGGCATGTTGTATGGCACCCCCAACCCTTGGGCCCCTCGAGACAATCGGCTCGGCCTAGCCTAAGCCAAGCCTAGCCGGGCCCAACCCAGCCAAGCCCAGCCCAGCCTAGCCAGCCTAGCCTAGGTGGCGAAATGGTTAAATTGTCGCACAGGCCAGTATTGAGTAAATGAGATATAAAATATGGGAGCCCAAAAAATTGCCTAAAAATCTAATTTTTTTTTTTCACTATAGATCAACAGTTTAATGTCTTTTTAATCATGTCCCAAAGTATTAGTTCTGGAAGTGGTCAACAAATCGTTTATTTAATGTTAATCAGATAGTTAATTCTATTAAACAAGGTATGCACAAAAAATTTTTGGAAGGCAATTACTCAAAATCATGTTTATCTTGACTCTAAGTGCTGTACTTTCATTTTCCAATAACTTAGGCTTGAAATGTCCAATTTCAATGAATGACCCCTCATTTTAGAGATCACATACTCAGGTATCTGAAAACACCAATGACTTGAATTTGAATTTTTGCTACAACTTAGCCATTTTGCCACAACATGCCTCAAATGGTAGATAATTTACTGGAATTGACATACTATTGTCAAAATTAAAAGCTAAAGTACAATGGCTTTTCTGTATTAACTATAAATACTGCCATATTTCTATGCTAATTAATGTACTCAGTTTAACATTTAGCGACAGTACGCTGGTTTTAGGATGGCAAGCCTCAATTAATTAAAATGCCAGTACTAACCTTTCCGGATTTTGAAATTATAATGATCATTTTATGCAAATTAAACTCATCCCTAGTAAGGTACTCTTCTTCATCATCATCATCATCAATGATGATGACACGTGAAGGCACTGTGTGATGTTCCTGATGGCTTCCATGTTTCAACCGCCTTCGTAAATGCATCACATAGGACTAAAATCAGGATATAAAGTGGTTAATGTCATATTCTTGGTTAGCTAACATTTTTTGGGGGGCTTAAGGCTAAGGATATAAGGATGCCACTTTACAAAATGGCATATCCTTTCACAAGACAGATATAAACACAAGATGCTCGACATAAATTAAGTCTCATTTATGAGGCTTAGGGAGTGAAGTTGTTTTGATCATGAGAAAAAAATCCTGTTGCTGTGACAGGAATTTAACCCAGGGTCCTGGGATTGGTAGGAAAGCATCTTAATCACCAAGCCATTCAACTCCACTTCAATATTGAATTTTGGCACCTGGTAGAAAAATAATTATCTTGTGCTCCCCACTCTGAGATTGGCTGTTCTAATTAGTATAGACTCACTTAAACAAATGGATGTAGTTGGTAATGTTTGCCTCATGGTAAACATAGTCAGCCTTAGATAAACTAGTATGCACACATAACATACCATCAAATAGTTCAAACTAGCCTTTAGAATTAGTTACAAGTAAACTACGACAAAGGGAATAGATTACATCCAAGCTTATACAGTTAGTTCATATATCAATTGAAAGAATGTATTTCTAATTTTGTACTTTAATAGGTACAACCGTTATCTTAATTATTCCTCTTACCTTAAGTTGGGCAAATTGGGTATTAAGACGTCTCAGGAACATTTCTAACACTGATACTGAAAAGAAATTATTTAAAAATATATAAATCTTCTATCTATTTCTTTACATTTTTACATAAACATCACTCAAACTAAAAATATATTGTATAACTTTATGATTGTTATGAGTATTTGAGTAATCAAATGATATTGTCTACATAAAAAACCCTTCTTTTAGAATTGCAATAGATGGTACAAAATTAATATTAGATTATTAAATATAAACAAAATAAAGAATTACTAATAATCTCTATTTAACATATAAGAATAACTTCAAAAAAACTTTCCTTGCAAGAGATCCTACTATACATTATAATTTCCATTACCAAATACTATATATTAGTAAGAAAATGTATTGAATCTGTTTGAAAAAAAATTCTTTAATTCGAAATGATAAGAACTTTACTTACTTTCCTCTTTTCCCCCAAACTCATCTTCAAACTTTGCTTCTGTGTCAGATACCGGAAGGTCAACCATCTCAACTGCAGCGACACTTGCCAAACCCTCCTCTCGGCACCACAGTACTCGACCTGAGATAAAAAGCAAGGTTATCTTATCTATAATAAGGTCAGTAAAACCTGTCTGTATTTCCCAAGCACAGTACAATAATTAAAGATTACCATAAAATAGTCATATTTTTTTTAAGGCAGAACAAGTGGCTTTTTGGAGTACTATATTATATGTACAGTCCATTTTTCTAGCCCATGGGTTCAATAATTTGAACAAACTGCAGTACACGTTAAAATTTAGAATTAGAGTACAGTCTTCACATTCACAATAAAGACAAACACTTCTTACCTGGTTGGTGTACCATTGCAATAGCATCATCTGCCGTCTCTAGTAACACACGGTAACCTAACTGCTGATCTTTTTTATGAAAAAGGTACACAGAACCCTAGAAGAAATTTGTAAATGTAAAATAATAAAATACAAAATTTTAGAATAATTTTGCTTTCATATACAACTCTGTACAATATCACAGATACATATACTGTATAATTGACACCCATCCTTCATTTTGTTTTATTTATTTGAATTATATATACAGAGGGTAACCCTTCCAGCTAGGCTGATATATTCAAGGACAAAATTAAAAATACTCTAGTAGATTTAAACTAAAATACTATCAAAAGATTACACTCCATTTAGAAATAATATATAAGCAAATGTTACAGAAATTCTATTTTTGTAAATTTTTATTTCATATGCTATTTCGAGACATTTCAGTTTCAACTTCCTTCACCTTTACTGGCTTGCCATGACTCTTTTCTATTTCAACTGTCTGTTTCATGTTTTCATATTCTGTTCCATCAGCAGCATTGAAACATTCAATATCAACTTCCTTTTAAATGAAGAGAATAAAACAGGAAAAAAAAAGTAGTTATTTAATTGTTATTCAGTTTGTAAGTTCTTAAATGCATCTTCAATCCAAGCACAATATCAACTACAGTATAGGAATACAGATACCGGTAAATATATATTGAACTTGTTTGATTTGTTATTGTCTGGTTTATTCCCATTTAATCTGGTTGAACCTGGTTTTACAATATCAAAAGAAAAAAAATACTCACAATGCCTGTAGTCTGTGTAAAAGTTGTGATAACACTATGATCTGGCAAATTCGATATTCCAATTGTTGTTTCCTAATGGTAAATACATGTGAAGAATAATTATTAAAATAATTCATCATTATGATCATGATGATGAAGTAATCAGACATTCATGTTGTTTAACAATAAAACATCAAGAAAGTCTATCCGTCTCGAAATACCTATTTCATAGAGAAAATATATATAAAAGGTAACGGTAAAAAGGTCGGAGAATAACCCATAACTCGCAGCATCATTGTGCTGAATTGCGAATGGCCGTGGTTTGTAACTACCTAGCCATTGTAAAGAGGTGCTTATAGTAGGTTTATGTCCACATCATTCCACAATGATAAGGGCTGAAATAAACCAAAGCATCGGGGTAACCCCCTACTCTTCCGAAAGATGCAGAAGATGCTTTAAATTGTACACAAGCCAGATGTGTACACTGGACCTCCATTTTGAGTCATTTTCTAACAACACTTGGTTCTACCAACCAAACTCCAGGTGAGACACGGCTCAACCCAGCTCTGATGTTAATGCTGAAGCTATTGGCGCTCCTGCCTTACTGCTCGTCCACTCAACTCAGCCATACTCAATAATGTCAAGCACACAAATGTTTTGGCATTATGCACAAAATAAGACTGAAATATTATTATTACCTTTGTAAACTGCTTGACAACCTCAAGACTATCCTCTATTGATATTAGTAGGTGGTTATCTGATGCTAGAGTTAAGATGAATAGTGGTTGATCTGTAGCAGCTTCTTGTAATTTAAGCTGTTTAATGTTACACTTCTGCAGGTCACTTGTCAGTCCCTGTTCAAATGACACCAATCAATCAATCATTCAAATCAAGTAACAGATATGCCTTCTACAAGATTATGCATTATACCTTTGTTGGCATATACAGCAAAGATTTGAGGAGTAGAAGCTTAAAGTAAGAAATAGAGTAAAGTAAAAAATAAAAGATGGATTCAAAAAAGGAACAGGGTCAGAAAAAAAGACTTGAAAAAAGAACATGGTAGTTATAAAACAGGAGGGTTAGATAGTGAATAAAGATGGACGGTCATGCAAAGATGGAGACAAGAGTGCACTATTTATATTTCAAGGATTTGAGGCTAAAAAGAGAGACATTTAGAGACACTGGATGGATGAGATTAAGGGAAAGTATAAGGGCATTGTATGGAAGCCTGTAGAGCTGTATTAAGATGAGTGGGATTTGATGATGGGATTTCCTCATCCAGTGTAGTGAAATAGATAGCCAGACATACACAGAAGGATAGAAAGAACAAAAGACGAACATGTAGGTCCACATATATTTTTTTGTTTGATATTGTTTATTTTTCTTTGCAATATTTGTAAGCACTTCATAGAGTATTCAAGCAAAGACAACAGAATTACAAGAGGTCCGACTGCCCTGATTTAGAATGTACGCGATGGAACATTAAAAAAAGGACTACCACAAGAAATGAGGCACCTTATTAGATTTTGAATAGAGTTTGAAACTCGAACATGCGCACAGAACACGTTTGATACGAACATCTTTTAAGGACACGCCCTACGTGGCAGTACTTTTTGAAATAGGATTACGTTCCAACGAAACCACGAGAGTTGGACTTCTTGCAGTTCTGTACTCTTTGGTTTAAGTGACAAAATGTTTTATGTGCCTGAACTGTATAAGCTAAGGAGCATAAAATTAATTACTGAAAAAAATTTTAACACAGGAGTTAAAAATTATTGTTCCCTCACCGAAATATGTGTGCTTTGAAATACACTTCCATCTCGCAACTTGGCACTCTGTAGTTCTTTGCTGACTGGATCAAAACAGACCATGTGACCATCATGAATAATGATGCAAGCAGTGTCAGCTGTTGCCCAGGCAGCTGGGAATAAGTTCTACAGCAAAAAATATCATTTAAAAAAATTGTAAATAACATAAATTTTTATTATATCTTTTTAATGTTATTGTTGTAACTGATAGTATTTTCCACTGTCTACCATTCTTTACTTTGAATCATTAATTTTTAAAGTGAATTATTTATTTACAAAGCGAAGAACTCAACATAAAAAGATGTCAAGATCATGCTAAATAGGTGATTTTCTACAGAAATGAAAAGTTTTGTTTTTTACTCTATATAAGTCATTTATTAATTTAAAAAAAAAAAAAACCTTATTAAACTGCATCTCATTTTACTAATAAAATTATTAAACACTAGGTTGATAGAGAAATATTTCAAATATTTCTGGGGTTGGAGAAAGTATGCAAAATTTAGTATATAGACAGATTTTGTTTATTGTATTTGTTGTCTGCCTGCAAATTAAACAATCTGTGATTTTTTAATAAACAGGAGGTCTGTCTCTTATACATATCTAGATGTGTATAAGAGACAGCCCTTTTGCCACACGGCTAAAATATTCTGGATCCACCACTGCTTTATTTTGTTACTTACCTCCTTAGACAGTGTTCCATCTTGAAGAGTGTAGAATTGTACTGTATAATGAGAATTTTCAACAATACCAACTACAACCACCTTATCTTGTATCTGGGATAACCACTTATATTGCACATTGTCACTGAAAGAACACAATTTTCTCATTATCAAAGTAACAGTTTATTTAACAGTCAATCCTTATATAAAGGTTTACATGTGGGGTAGTTAATCAACCAGCATTAATTATTTATAATTACCCCTTAACAATACCTGTCTTTACAATAATTTAAATGTAAATTTTGATGTTTTTATAAAATATATTAAATATTCATTTAAGAGTGACAATTGATTCTACCCTTCGACAAATTGTGGTCTATCTAATTCATGTTTCTCTTGAAGAAAGCCAAAGAAATACTAATCAAAAGATTAAGACACTTTGTATAAAAATTTTATCATTTAATTGTTTTTACTGGTCACTTTTTACTGTTTGATTTCTAGGATCTTTTATTTGTCTTTTTGAATTACATTTCTTATCACAGTAATAAAAAGGTAGGACTTAGAACCATTGCTGACAGATGCCAACTTGTGGTGGATAAAGAAGTCATATTAAACCCTGGTGGGAAAAGTGTGGGCCACAGGCCACATGCTCCGCGACATAAATTTTTTTGCGGCCACAAACATAAATTTAAAAAATGTGGCTTGTACACACGTGTGCAAGCAGCACACATGGCCCAATGCTGATTGGCCCAATGCTGATCATCTGTAAAAATTAATAGTAAAACAAAAGGAGTGCATGTCTAAAGCTTTGTCTACACTATCAAATTTTATGTGACAAAAAAATGTGATGTGTCCATACAGTATATATGGGTAGGATGACATCATATCACATACTATCAAATCGTATAAATAAAAGTTGACCATGTTCAACTCTTATTTTCCATCACATTTTATGCGACAATTTTTTGATGAAATTTGATAGTGTAGACAAAACTTCATTTAACCCTTTAACCTATTTTTATATCCACCACTACTTTAAGAAGTCTTTTCTCCATTCATGATCATTATTTTCAAACAGGTACACAACTTTTTTTTTTCATTTTATAGTTATGGTAAAATTTCAGTGACTTACTCAGTACTTAATTCTTCAAACCACTTTTCTTCACCAGTTTTAGTTGATAGAATGTGGAGAGAATGACCAACAAGCAATGCCAATAGGTTACCATCATCTTCTTGAGTACATATAAAAGACACCGGTGATCTAAAAGATGAATAACAGAAAGATGTTAACTGTAAAACTGAGCACTCATTGCACTCGGCGGTCGTCTGCCAACGCGATTCTATGAAGAGCGTAATGCGACGACGTACGCTCAACTTAATGTTTTCAATGAGATTAGTTCAGACTGCCACCGACAAACACCAGACAGCGTCGCGTCATTGTATCTGTTATACGATGGTCTTACGAGTGCCCTGCTTAATACTATATGTTTTTTCTTCCAAATCCAAAGCTACTAAATTCATCTGGCCAAGCCCTATTTTGGATATTGTTGCTAAGTTCTCACAAAACAACTGTCATTTGAAGGTTGTGGCACCACTCAATAAAACTGCTTGGCCATTCAACTTGCCAGTAGAGGAAATTGATTGGGCATTTATATTCTCTATGATCAAAACACATTCAAGAATTATACTTGCACTCAATTATGCAAGGTGGTCTTGGCTGCCCAGCCTTTTTTCTTAATTGTTGCCCATATACCAAGAATAGAGTGCGCAACCTTAATCAACAACATTTTGCATTGACAGTAAAGAAACACAGGCTTGGATGTGAACTCGCATCTTGATGCCTGTGAATGCTGTTGGACACTACATCTTTGCACAAACAATGTGAAAAAAAAATTATAATCTATTCACCTTTGGTTAGGATCTAAAGGAGCATTAATGTTAGATTCCCACTTTACAAATCCAGTATTTGATGCCCAGGAATTTACTTTGCTACCGCCTCCTGACACAGTGATCAGATCTGCAAAAAAAAAAATATATTACTTTATCCCAGTCCTTTAGTGCCACATTCTCCTCTTACCACCCAACCCACACAAGATAACAATTCTTGTTGTAGACCAGTGGTTTCTAGCCTGGGGTCCACAAAAAATAATTGGGGGGGGGGGGGAATCTTTTGAATTACTTTTATGTATTCTCTATGTAAAGATGTTAGTATAGGAGAGCCACTTGATAGTGCCAATCCTCAAAGTAATGTGGGTCCTACATTTTCTTTCCATGTTTTCTCTTGTAATGCTTTTACCTAGATGTTGAACAAATTTTAAAAATCAGGAGGTACCCCAAATTTGACAAAATTAAAAGTAAATGGGGGATCTAACAGAATAATTACATTCACATTTTGAGTCTGCCAGTGTAATTTCCGGCCATCTGAAAGTGCCATAAACATAAAATTTCCTTCTGCTTTTATTTCAAACTCTAAAGATTCTGCACTGTTTAATGTTGTACTTTTATGGTGAAACATCTTCTATCTGTCCATGAGGATTTTGGCATGTCCAGAGAGGGATCCGCAAACACAAAAAAGTTGGGAACCACTGTTGTAGACCACTCACCTTCATCCTTGTAGTGGAGAGCGTCAATCACCCCAGTTGACCCCCTTGTAAACACCTGCCTCCAGGTGATTTCACCTGTTCTTATGTTTAGTGCTGCAAGCACATTTAATTCTGTTGCAACAAATACACTCTTTTTCCCACTGCTTGGTTCAAATTGCACATACTTCAGTTTACCAACACGGCGCTGTCTCCTAAAATATTAATAAAAATAAATAAAATATCATGTTTTAAATGACTGTATTTGAATTCTTTCACTAAAATGTAGACAAAGGCAAAGCTGAAAAAAAAAACCACAGTTGCTCGTTTAAACTTCTTAAATAATCTGTTTAAGGTGGCCCCCATCGATTGTGAACTACAGTACAGACGAATCTAGGCCAAATTGCCGAAAACCTAGATTATCGAGTCTACTTTGTCAAAACCCAGTTTGCCAACTCAAAAACCATGAATCCCAGTTTACAGGGAGTCAACTAAAAGCAATCACAATGGAGCACTCTCTTATCATGAATGCATTCTGTACCAAGTGGTGGCACAAGAGAAAGCTTGTGGCCGACCAGATTTGCAATGACTAGGAATTTAGAAGCCATTCCAAGGCGATGACTGTGTATTCATATAATAAATAGTGGGTTATTGTAGTTAAATGATTCTTTTTTTTTCTGCAAATCAAACTTGATTAACAATTCGGCTGCAAAAAATTAAAATAGCCCTATAAAAATTTATCATTTGCCAGTTACTATGGATAAAAAAAAACTCTCTTGCCCAAATATAGATTGGGCCAGAGAACCTGGTATGCTTGTTGGGAGTGTGAACAACAATACACCCTTTTACCACCCGCTGCTGTTTCCAGAGTTCTCAAATTCTACAGAATGTCTGTAGTATTATGGAAATAGACAAATACACTTGTACAAAAATACAAATGAAATGAGTATAGTAGCACCTTCTTTAGACTAACAAAATTTATTGACACACAAGCTACACTACAGAAATTTATCAGTCCAAGACCCAGAAGTATATGAGTCTACACATTATCAAATTTCCAGGACAATGATTCTGCCATCAGAATCTTTGGCTATGTTGTCCTTAAGGACTCTAGACCACTCAGACTTTTCAGATTACTGATAAATTTGTAAAACCCTACAAAAGTGACCCATAAACCTGTATTTTGTCCAGTTTTTAAAAATTCCACAGCTGTTGTTATACTGAACCTGCAACTTTGAGCAGCCAATGTCTTGCACTGAAGGCAAATTATTAATATCAATTGTTACAGACATTTTTCATTAACTAAGGAAATTGAAGACATAGTTACAGAAATGCATTTTAATAATTTGAAAAGTATATGTTTCTATGATCTTTGTTTTTTTTTATTACCCAGTACTGCACTGCACACATTTTCTTTTGTTTGTTAATATGTTTTCCACATGATTCTTCTTCTTATCGCGTCCATAGGCCTACAGTACATGAGTTCATACTGTTTGGAGCTTTATATGTTGTTTGAGGCCCTAGTTCTAAAACTCAACGATACGATTTTTGTATAGATAGTGGTGAAAAGATTGGTAGCAACAGGGCTTTGACATGAACACCCCTTTTTTTACCCTTTCTACCTCTTTCCACATGATACATTACACAGAATAGAAGGTTCACTATTATCCATCCTAACTAAAAAACCAGAAAGACAAGAGTCAGTAAAAAATGTTTTAAATTTAAAAAAAAAAAAAAAAGGTTCTTTAAATTTATTTTCCTTCAAAAAGATTTTATACAAAATTTGTTTAAAAAAAAACTAAAAAAAATAAGACTCCCAAAAATAAGATCCACAAAAAAATATCTGTCAACCCCCACCCCCCACACTGAATCTTGCTCAGTTTTCAAATTATGCAAGGATAACCTTGTCCTTGCACAGTTTTAAAATTGTGCAAAGGAGGAGCTTGCACAAATTGCAAATTGTGCAAACGTCTCAAACTGTGCAGAGTGTACCACATTTGCGTTTTTATTATAAATTTACAAACTTCTGACTTAAATTTAGCGTCCCAACCAAGGTAGGTATGTTAGAAGAGTGACGTCACGCACTGTTATCGTTGTCGCGACGCCAATGCTGATTGTTTTGGTTTTGCATCTTGCATCCAGATTAGAAAAAATCGTATTAAATTGTTTATTGGTTGCATTCGCTAACCTTTGAACTTATTTACAAAGTAAACAGGTCAAAGTTTACTTGCGCTATTTAAAAATATTTTTTTCATTGATCGGTCACGGAGTTACATTGTACGGAACTTTTTCTTTGAAATAAAGCATCATTTACACATATTTTGTAAGCTCTGTAAATTTTAAAAACCATCCTGTAATTTTAAGAATTATATATTTAATATCTATGCCAAGTATGAATTAGATCTGATGCTTCTCAACAATTTTTTTGATTTTCTCAAGTCTTACGACTCTCGAGTCCGATGCATAAAAATGTCCGTTGATCGAAAGATGTGTACATTGGAGGATGATTCAAACAGCATAATTGTTATTAAATTTACACATAAAGTCTGTATTACTGATGAATATGTCCAATATAATCATTGCTTAGTATTATATAATAGAATATTTTTAACGATTTTGATTTATTATAATGATATTTTGCGATTAATATACCCGTGTATAATTGAGAATTACCGTTACGAAATTGCATATGGCATCTTATTAGGGAATTCTGGCCTGTAATTGGTCTGTATAGATCACTTGACATTGAATTTGAAATTTGATTGGATGATATGTGTTGTTGACAGGAATATAGAGCACAAGCATCCTGGTGTTGCATAGGCCTACATTAATAGTTTTTAAACAATTAAAATTAATAATACCCTGTAGTAATAATAAATTAGTCAAACAATGCATGTATAGATCAAAGCAATAAATAGTACTTAATTAACTTTTTTTTTTCAAGGTAACTTAGATTATTAATGAGGGCGGCGGTTACTTGCTGGGCTCTGCTGGTTGCCGTCTAGTTTTTAGTTTAATTTCTTTTAGTATGCTTATCTATGTCCGACTCTGTTAATAATATGTGCCATATAGTGAACATGTACAGTATAACCAGGGAGATGTAAATAATTGAACATGATAAATGTCTCTAAAGTAAAAAAAATCGGTTCTTACGCTTCTCATATCCTAGATATTGAAGACTGTCTCTCGGAATGACAAGAAGGGAAATGTTATTATGTGTCGTGGTGACCTTTTTGCATTCGCTGAACCCTCTGGATGTCACTGAAAGTTTTCACGGACCCCCATGTCCAAGTAATAGGCTACTTATTGTCATATTCCAACGATTCTAGATAGATTATTTGCCACGAAAGCACAGTGGCGGATCTAGGGGTGAATAGTGGCTATCCCCCCCCCCCCTTCGTTTACCGTGAAAATATGGTTAATCGTCTTGTTTGTGTGGTCCTCGTGTACTCTCGTAAAACATACACTTTCGATTTTAAGCTTATTTCTTTTCAGATGCCAATTAAGATCGTCTAGCTGCAGTCTACTAATTTCAAATAAATTCCCTTCCAAAACCACTCCCCGCTTGTGCCTTCTCACCTCCCATTATTCAGCCCCGTTGCTAAATCCTAGATCTGAAGTACTAAATTAAACAGTGGTTGATGAATCTTCGAAATAGCTAGGGGAACAGAAAGCAAATTTTACGGGAAGAGTAAACACCACCTCAGTCCAACCATGGACGAATGTTATTGTCTATGGGGCACCTCTAGATTGCCGGAAATGGCACAGACTCGTAATTGTAATGTAATATTCCCCAATTTATTTTAAATTTTGTAATGATTTCTACAGTAAGACGTGTTTATCACACTGCTGTAAGACGTGTTTATCACACTGCTGTAAGACAAAATAATTGAATCATGAAAAAAAATTGGTCTAAAAATCCTAAATTCGCGGACCCTTTTGATTGACCCCCCAATTTCGACCCCAGGTTCGGAACCACTGGTCTAAGCAGCCCACTATTGAAATCCAGTGGAGGTGTATTTCTCTATATGCATACCATGGCCAAAGTTACTTTGAAACTACATAGACCAGAAGAGAGCGTGCAAATATTATGCAACTCTCTTTTAAATGATAAAAATCTAAATGATTACTTTGTTTTATCTTTTTAGAAAAAGATTCAGTAACTAGGATCATAATTTGAAGGTTGTAAACACCACACAAGGACTGCATAAAGCACTATTTCTCTTACTATATTATTGAAAAATGGAATGCATTGTCTAGTGACACATACCGGTAGTGTTTTAACAATTAATGAAAAAACACATTAATCTTCACTCTGCAAATTTGACAAGCCCTCTGCAGCAATCAGTGATTGGCTGTGCAACCTTAAAACGATGAAGCGAAAGCTTAAGTAGACTCGAAGAATCAATTAAGAATATAATTGATATTCATCACAGTGTGTTTAACATATTGGTTTCGATTGTATTTGTTCTAGATCCGCCTCCGATTTTCCAATACAGATTTAGGGCAATAGGCCTACTGTATACTTTACTTTCTTTACATAATAATGTAATGGTTTTTAAAAAAATTGTCCTATTTGTGTGGTCGCGTGCGGACGACGTCCCCCATGGGGCAGGAGTAAATAAAAACAAGATGTTGATTTTTATGTCTGTGAAGTTGGTTCCTAGTTCCTAGTTCCTTATTCAAACTACATTAAAGGGACAGTTACAAAATGTTTTTAAATGTTATTAAATGTTTTAAATGCTATTATTTGATAATATTTTGACATGAGTATATGACCTTTAACCAATTTTATCATTTCCAACCACAGTTACATACCTTAATTTGCAAATACGCCCTCTACGGCGAATAAGTAACTAGCTTCTAATTCGCTGTAACATTCAACCTAAGGTATTATTTTGTCATCTTCTGACATGGATATATGACCTTTGACCACATCTATCAATTCCAACCACAGTTACGTGACTTATGTTGCAAACATGCCCTCTACGGCGAATAAGTAACTAGCTTCTAATTCGACATAACACTCAAATTATGCTATTATTTGATAATATTTTGACATGAGTATATGACCTTTAACCAATTTTATCATTTCCAACCACAGTTACGTAACTTAATTTGCAAATACGCCCGCTACGGCGAATAAGTAACTAGCTTCTAATTCGCTGTAACATTCAACCTAAGGTATTATTTTGTCATCTTCTGACATGGATATATGACCTTTGACCACATCTATCAATTCCAACCACAGTTACGTGACTTATGTTGCAAACACGCCCTCTACGGCGAATAAGAAACCAGCTTCTAATTCGACATAACAATCAAATAATTATATTATTATTTGGTAATATTTTGACATGGGTATATGACCTTTCAGCACATCTATCATTTCCAGCCACAGTTACGTGACTTTATTTGCAAACACGCCCTCTACGGCGAATAAGTAACTAGCTTCTAATTCGCTATAACATTCAACCTATTCAACTATTTGGTCATATTTTGACATAAATATCTGACCTTTGACCTTATCTATCATTTCCAACCACAGTTACGTGATTTTATTTGCAAATACGCCCTCTACGGCGAATAAGTAACTAGCTTCTAATTCGACATAACAATCAAATTATACTATTATTTGGTAATATTTTGACATGAGGTATATGACCTTTAATCACATCTATCATTTCCAGCCACAGTTACGTCACTTATGTTGCAAACACGCCCTCTACGGCGAATAAAATCACGTAACTGTGGTTGGAAATAATAGATAAGGTCAAAGGTCAGATATTTATGTCAAAATATGACCAAAATAGATGAATAGGTTGAATATTATGTTGAATTAGAAGTTAGCATAGAGATAGAGATATAATGTTTAATAGCTCTATGGAAGTTAGTTACTTATTCGCCGTAGAGGGCGTGTTTGCAAATAAGCACTGACGATCCCAGTGGACTCAGTGTGTGCTGGTACCCCTCAATTAATCTGCTGGTGTGTTTGTTGCGGTGCTATACTGTCCTAGGCCTATAACTGTCTTTTTTAGGCCATTTTCAGTACTCTTCTACGATGTCAAACAGGCAAGAATCATCTAATGTTATCATCCCGAAAGGAGTCAAATTCCTCTATGGAGGACTTGCTGGGTATGCATGAATGCATGTTTCATTTTTTACGGCCTAGCCTAGGCCTACCATCCAAATGGCATGCTAGGCCTAGATAGGCCAAGGTTAGATAGGCTTGGCATCCTCCTCTAGCTAAATCACTTCATTGGTCCAGGTCCAAGCTAGGCTAGATATTTTGTTAGGGTAAGCCAATAGGCTAGTAGACGCCAAAAACTGCAGCAAGCCTAAAGATGTTGCAGCAACTACTGTATGGAGTGGAAAAGGCCTTTCATTCATTCATTTAGGTACCAAATGAATTTAATCTCATCTGTTCCCTTTTACTTTGAGTGAATGTCTACTTTTTTTTTAGCCATGTTTGATTACCAAAAAAAAAAAAAGTTAACAAAAAAAAAAAAAAAAAAAAAGAAACAAGAAATGACCTCATAATCTTATTTTTCCTTTCAGGATGGGTGCTACTGTGTTTGTTCAGCCTTTGGATCTAGTGAAGAACAGGATGCAACTTAGTGGTAAGCATACGCATTGATGCCACCCACCTTGCGCATTCCAGTACACTGGATACATTATTGAGAACTAATAATATTTATAAGTCAATCGTGACGTCTGTAACTCCCAAAGTTATTTGCCTATTTCCCAGCATCCAATAATTTTTGTATTATTGGACGCTCGGCTTGATTTTTTTTAAGGTTCGTGTGCAAAAAAAATTCCTCATTTTTTCATCACCACCACGAATATGTCGCGCACCGCAATAAAAATTGAATTGTAATTGAAAATTACTTTCGTAAAACAAGCCTAATTAGAACCCGAAGAAAGTTACTTCAAGAATCAAATTCAATATTAAGTATGAACAATTAAGGAATTCATTGAATCAATGGACCCTTATAAACACAACAAACTGAACGTTTAATAGAAATATTCTAGACCTATTTTAAAGATTCAAAGAACAAATTTAGATGTAGGCCTACGACCAGGCAGGCCGCCCGGGCCTCCTCCTACTATTACTAGGCATAGGCCGTAGCCTGGCCTAGTTATGAAATCATCGCACGATTTTACCTGTCTGCATGCACCGACCAAAAAGGACGTCAGTGACTGTATTCCCTCTCGAATGCTGAAATGTTTATTTCTTGACGAAAGTCTATCAATATAGCATTACAAACAAGTTCTTTCTAACACAATTAGTTATTCATCGTATCCGTACTGTCCTGCTGATGTTAGATGAGTTAAACGCGTACTGCAGGAGCACAAATCAGTATACACACAGCTAAATGTAAATACGCACACGTATACTGATCATATCACTATAGCAACCGATGGCTGCTACAACAGTTGGTTATAAAAAAACTAAAATTAAAAGACGGCGATTGACTTATAAAGCAATTAATAGAGCATGCATCGTACACTAAACGGAAAATTATTATACTTATTTAATGCATTCAAAAATTTCCTTCAAGCATTAAATCTAACCTTCGTACAATAATTTTCCTATAGTGTACTATGCGGAGCTCTACTAATTGCTTAATATCACCAGGCTAGCCTATATCACCTTAAGCAAAAAATGCTACAACTCAGATATTCCCTGTTGTAAATTGCAAACATTTTTAGCCTAATGTAGATGGGGAAAATTACTTTTATTTTCCTTTAATTGTGCACTTGTTTCCTCATATAGATCCCATACAGACTAGATCACTTAATAGTCTAATTGTACCAACCATGCATTTTGTGATCAAGTAATATTACTTCATTCTTTTTGTAGGTGTTGGAGGCAGTGCAAAAGAACACAAAACAAGTTTTCACGCGGTCAAATCAATTTTAAAGAATGAGGGAATTATTGGCATATATACTGGGTGAGAAAATGCATACATCTGTTTTATACTTTAAAAAAAATATTAGCAAATGCTATTTTATTGATGAAGGTTCACTATTTATTTGATGTAAGGTAAACAAATTAATACATTAATAATAAAAAGTTAATATAGAACATACAAAGAACAAATAAAATTTTAATTGATATTTATTACAGAACACGGGTATACAGGTATAGTTCCTGTGAGAGGTGCAGAATTTTTTTGCCTTCTCAATCAAAACCAAAGGGCCGACAAGGCTTGGTCGACGGTCCGGATTAAAAAAAAATCGCTGGAAGGGCTCACAGGGGGAGATTTTATGGCTTAGTATGATCCAATGTGCTTTTAGACCACAATATTGGGGACAGGCAATCAAAATAACGTTATTAAAGTAATATATTCGCTGTTGAAAGAAAATCCTTGGTGCGTGTGTCTTAAGAATTTTTGGTCATGGTTATAGAAGCAATTGGCATACACAATGCCTATGAAACAGTGTGGCTGATGAATCTTGATGATGGTGGCAGACAAATTTCATTAAGGCTAGTCCAGGAAACCCAGCATAGTCACTGTATTTAGTTTATTAAATATATTTTAAGAAATGGTTAAACACTGTTTATTATTGATAAATTATTTTCATCTCTTCTAGGCTTTCGGCTGGCTTGCTACGACAAGCAACCTACACAACAACAAGGCTGGGCATCTACACAACTCTTTTCGACATGGTTTCTGGGTAAGTTCATCCATATACAGTAGTCTTAGGAATCTAATGGGCTGAAGTGGCTCTATCTCTTCAGACCATTCCACCCTAAAAGCAGCAAGAAGGATTGTGGTCTTCCATATTCAGAATAAATTCAGATAGAAACAACAAATAAGTAGGCTTGCAGATAAACTTGCCTAGGTTGACTTTGCCTTACTAAAATAATTAATAAGTCGATCTTATTTTAAATGCCAAATTGTTGTGTTTTCCATTAATCAAAGATTTGTAAGTCAAATTTTATCTAAGTCAAACAATTTTTCTATACCATTTTTGGATTTGACTTCGGCAAGTTCAACTTATATAAATTAAAAATCAGTTAAGTTAGAATGAAGTTTGTCCACACTGATTTTAAAGTTTAGTGTAACAATGCCTGCAGACAATATTTTAAAAATTTGTCTTGAATACCAAATATGCAATGCTAAATCAACAGTTCATAATATTATCACCATATAAAAATGGCCTGACAGACAATGAGTGCATTATCTTGCAAAGGAAACCTTTTGTCTTGATATAGGAATTAATCAAAACTGAGTATTTAATTAATTCTGTGCTCTTCCTGGTACCTACATAAATTATTGATTGTATTGTACGTACAAGATAGAAATTTTACTCATTGTCGTTAATGAAGCAGGTACCAGCAAATGAAATTTTTTATTATCCCAAACAATAGTCCTGAATTGATTGCAAGTGTAAAGAGGAATATTGTATAATTATTGATGTTGACTAAAAATGTATATGGAGTGGTAGGATCTGTTACTGTTATGTTTTTTTTTTTCAAAATTATTAAAATCACTGTAGATTTCAAAGAGGAGGTTAGAGAGGAATGCAGTATTATTTATTCTCTATATGAGCCTGTTTTCCATTTTCTTGCACCATTATGGATTGTTCCAGCAGGATTTCTTATAATATGTACAATTTTGAATGTTCTTCAAGATGTACTGTCTGTCATGAGCTGAAAAAATGAATACTAGTTTGACTAAATATTAAAGTTTATAGAAAAGAAGTTTTGCTTGTACAGTACATTATGAATTTATCGCAGTCTAAAATTGGCATATATATAGTAACAATAATTGTGTGTGCATATTTTAATTTATGTTGGAATGCGTTCCATGTTATGAATACTGTTGTTCATGAGCAGGGTGGCTCCATAAATCTGCCAACAGGGAGTCAAACAAATTTGTTATCAAAATGCCCACTTGGGTGTTTGGTCTTGAAAGGTCGCAGAATAAAATTTCAGATAGGGGTCATGAGGAGAGTTTTTATGGCTTAGAATGAACCAAAATTGTGCTTGTAGATCACATAATAGGGATTGGCAATCAAAACGTTATTTGTTAACAATTTCACTGTAGCGGCAGAGGACAGGGAGTCAGTTCCTACTTAAGGGAGAAATTTCCCCTCTGTATCACTGCTGGTGCTGCCACTGTTTAAGAGTTATGGTAACAGTGATATAGCTGCAGTGCATTATAATTATTTACTTTCCTTATGTAGACCTGAAGGACAACCGCCAAGTTTTGCAATGAAGGCCTGTATAGGTCTTACCGCTGGTGCTATTGGAGCATTTGTCGGCACCCCTGCTGAAATTTCACTAATCAGAATGACGTCAGATGGCAGGTAAATAGAAAACCATTTGATACGTACAGTATTGATTTTAATGCAAGACATTTTGTAAAACCCTCTTTTATGAACCCGCCAGTGATCGATAATAATAATTTCAGATATATAAATTTAAATTTATTTATATGAATCTTATCACACCTGCTGCTGTGAAATTAATAAAGTTTTCATTATCTGAAAAAATAAATAATATGCATTATCAATCAGTCCAATTCATCGCCAAATCACAAATCACATTCTGCATACAACAATGCAATAAGATTTCAAGCAAACCTCAAGTACACTTTACCTCCTGCACTTGCATTACTTTTATTAGTCAGACTTTTTGGGGGTTTTTTCCTCCTTTATTTTCTGTACCTTGATACTCTTGGTCAAACCATATTGCTAAATAATAAAATACATTTTTTTATTTTATTCTTATCTGAAGATATTTAAAGAAAATTTAGTTTTGGTACATATGTACAGTATAACAAAAGTCTCTCAAAAAAGTGCTCATCCTACCATCAAAAATTATGATTTTCAATTAAATTGATAATTTTTCAGACAAAATACTGTTATAAATAAATGCATGTTTATTGCAAGTGGAAGTTTACGGTCAAAAATAACCAGTATACCATTATAAAATCTGGTGGAACATACCATTTTATAATGCTGTGAGCAGTGGCAGATCTAGAGGGGGTGAATAGGGTGGCTAGCCACCCCACCCCCCCTCTTCAGTGAATGTAAAAAAAATTATTTTTTTAAAGCATTTATACTTTCGTAAAACATACACACTCTATTTAAGCTTAACTTCTTTTCGGATATCATCCAAGAGCGTCTGGACGTCTACTAATTCCCCCAAAAAAATCTCAAATAGAAAATCTATAATCAAGGGAGACAGGGGATACATTCCAATATTTTCAAGGGGTGGGGGGTTGGTCCCTTCACTTTTCGTCCGCAATGTAATAATTCAAGTCAAGAAGATGCCTGAAAATTGTTGAAACGAACTGCATTGATGACCCAGGTTTTAACGAAGTGGTGCTGTACAATCGGTACTCTATCTCTGCCCACAAGCATCTGAATTACTTATAATAGGCCTACACGCGCGTGTCTTTATCACAATTTGAGAAGTTTGAGAAAAAGCGTGTAATATTAATAATAATAATATTAGTTTTCAGCACAGTGAAGTACTAAAGTAAATTAAAAATACATCAAAGACAATTGAGTTTTATTTTCAATGGAACATCACAGCGATTAATTAGATGATGAATTTTACCCTATAATACTGTCATTTCAGGCAATCTAGAAGTATTTCCCCAAATGTTCCCACCTCAGCCCTTAGGTGTAGGTAGGCCAAAAGTAAATACATCAAAAAGAATGTTTTAAAGATGTTTTTTCTAAAGTACATCACATATATTAATAGATCTATGTTTGCTGGAAATCGCTGGTGAAACGTCATTTTGACTGTATAATGGTGATGAGATGACGATAAATTTTACTATGAAAGTGTCATTTCCAATCATCTACACGTAACTATTTCCTAAAATTTTTTAACCTCAGGCCCAACCATGGTGGGCATCAGGTGGCTTCGCAAATCACATTATCCACCCCCATTGCTAAATCCTGGGTCCGCCACTGTGTGAGATGTTTGTTCATTGGAAAATAATTGCATGGCTATTAATTTTGGATGTTTTACACTTGATTTGCACAATGCAGGTTACCAGCTGCCGAAAGGCGTGGTTACACCAGTGTGTTTAATGCCCTTTCAAGAATAGTTAGCGAAGAAGGTGTGTCTACATTGTGGAGGGTATGTATTCAAATTATTGTGTAAATTGTTCAGTATATTTAAGAGTTAACAACATGTATGTATATCAATGACTTAAAATTAAAATGCATACAAAAGTACTTTCAATTTAACCACTTGTACTTCTTGGTGCAGTACAAGGGAGCCAGTGTACATAAAGACACTTAATGCAATTTTGAACTGCATCCTTAATGAGTGCAAGCCTGAACTCTCACCAATACTTTACTTTTACTTTTACTTTTTTTTTTTACTTTTTGATTGATCTTTTATCTTTGGAATCTAAACACGATTTATAATTTCATTTTATCATTCCATACTGTAAGTGGGCAATTTTCTTCCTGTTTTTGAATTTATTGTAGATACTGTAATTCTTTAAAACATCTTCCTGCTTGTTTCCTTTTTTTTCCTTTGTGAAATTTTGTATATCTTTATTTTTTTTTTTTTCTATAGTTTTAAATGTTTGTATAAATTTTTTACTTTTTAATGTGTCTTTTCAAGATGTATTTTTTGTCAAATTCTTCATGTATATGTAATTTTTTATTGCGTCTATTTTTAGGGGTGTGGGCCGACAGTCGTACGTGCAATGGTAGTAAATGCAGCTCAACTTGCATCCTACTCCCAGGCTAAGCAGTTGCTTCTTGGAACCGGGTATTTCAAAGATAATATAGCATGTCATTTTGGTGCAAGTATGATCAGTGGTTTTGTAACCACCTGTGCGTCGATGCCCGTAGATATTCTCAAAACCAGGTGAAAACAAATTTTTATTTCTTAAAATGCACTTTTTTAAAGGATTTTTTTATTTCATACTGTATTTGAACTGTGTTATTCTTAAAATAAAAACTTCAATGGATATTTTGAATTCTTCAAAGGCTGGGCATATTTTTCCAGGTTGATATAAATATTTATTTATGTGATTGTATATATATATACATATATATATACATATATATATATATACATATATACATACATATATACATATATATACATACACATATATACACATACACATATACATATACATATACACATATATACATACATATATATACATACATATATATACATA